GTTGTTATCTGAAGAAAGAACCTCTCCTTTTTTTTCACCTGGTCTGTCTCACTTGGGTAGTCTGTCTTATCTGGGCTGTTGTTATCTGAAGGCAGAACCTTTCCTTTTTTTCACCTCGTTCTGTCTCTCTTGGGTAGTCAGTCTTATTTGGACTGTTGTTATCTGAAGGCAGAACCTTTCCTTTTTTTCTCTCCTGGTTCTCTCTCTTGAGTGGTCAGTCCTATTTAGGCTGTTGTTATCTGAAGGCAGAACCTTTCCTTTTTTATATCTGGTTTTATCTCTCTTGGGGAGTTGTTTCATTTCAGACTGAGCGTTTTTTTCCGATGACAAACTAATTTTGGGTATGAATCTCGAAAAAATTAAATTTACTTATCTTTATTGTACATTTTTTTTTTTGCAGATTTAATGAAATTTTAACCATGAAAAACCGTGATGAAAAAGCCATGTTTGTAATATATAAAATTAGCATTTGCATTGTATGTTTCGCGAGGGGTTAGAGAAAATGGTTTACTCCAACCAGCACGAACTGAATCAACGCCATATAGTAAGTGCACGTTCCGTTGACTGACTTTCTGGTAATTTTCTGTCGAAGTTGTTTTTTTTTCTTGGCGGCGTCTGCCCTCAAATCTCGTGAATGTTTTATTAAAAAATAAAGAGTGAATTCAAGAATGAAATTATCAACGAGTAAAATACCTCTTTTCGTATTGTATCCCATTACATTTCCATTTCAAAAATAAAAAAATTCGTGGTATTGGTGAAAACCCTCATCCCTTTCAACTCTTAACCACTGTCGGGTTGTGTGTATCAACAGAATGGGTCAGCAAATTTGCATTGCATGTTTCGCGAGGGGTTAGATAAAATGGTTTACTCCACGCGAGTGAAGCCGACGCTTTGCGTCAGTATTGGCCCTTTTTATCCTTCGTAAAAAAATTTCGATCATAGAGTTAAACTGTAAAATTCTTTGGCTTACATTATGCGCTTTAAAGTAAACATGACTTGTTCTTTCCACGCGAGGGTTTAATCTTGAAAAACGCAAGCACGTGAGTGACGCTAGCATTAACGCGTGTCCCCAGCTGCAAAACATTCGTATTATGTCAAGAAAGGTCGGCTTAATAGTTTTGAGTTACTCTCACCATGCAATTTGGACGCCGAAAAGTGCCAAAATACAATTACCGAAAATTCATCCGCAACACCTCGAACGCGAACTCAGTTCTTCTCTTACAGTTAATAATTGTCAGAAGCCAAGCTCCCATGATTTTTTTTTTCTCAACGAAAGATCATACCAAGTGTCCTACGCTTACCACTTTTTGACACCTTAAGATAACGGATGTCTTTAGTCAATGTGGTAAAACACTCCGAAAGCTTTTAAACGTCTCTTTGAGAAAATCGACAAAAACAGGACGTTATAGTCAAACGAACTTTACCTCGATCACATGATAATCGCGTGATCATCATATGATGTCAGTTGAGGCTCCGTGGGGTTTTTGCATAATGTTGATGCGCGCGCCAGCGTTATTTTTTTCTTAAAAACTTTTGTATTTTTTCTTTTCAAGGTCACTAAAAGCCATCAAAAGGCAATGAGCAAGGTTCGGACTATCGTTTGCTGTAGTAAATACCCGGCTTAGTAAATCGAGCATACGGAAATCGAACTCAATCGAATTCAATCAAACTCAATCGGTGGATTGAGTTCACTTGAGCTCGGCAATTAGACCATTGTCATTGTAAGTTAACTTGCCATTGCATAATGACAAAATGTTGGAATCTTTAAATTCATTTTTTTATTGATCTGAATGATAACTCAGTCATCGGCCCTTTTAGCAATTATGATTGAATAGTCTGATCTATTGCGTTTTCCGTTTTGAAAATTCGATAATAGTCCATGTTAACTTGCGGCGTTCCTTTTTTGGGCAACCGGTGGAAGGGAGAAAAAACGCCAAATATAATTACTACACGAGTCGTCTGCCCGAAGTCCGGAATCTGGCCTTTTGTCTGATTGGTCGTAAAACATTGACGAATTAAGCAAAGACATTTCACCTCTTTTTTTCCTTGAACGTAAACATGTACATTGTGCTCTGTCGCCTTTGCGCCTCCAACAGCCGTATAAATATCCGGTAAAATCTGATTTAGTTATGATACAACGCAATCAGAGTGTGCACACCGCCTGAGGTGTTCCAAAGCAACCAAATAGCGGTCATGTTGATGTTCCAAGCAAATCCTGTGCGATGTGTAAACACTTCCTAAATTTGCGTACTGATTGACTATGTGAGTGAACTGCACTCTTCAACGGTCGTATGGATGCGCGTAAAAGCCGCTTATACGATTTGAAATGGATTTTCAGCAAGTGGATTCTGTTTCATTCCTGTGGAATTCTGAATTCCAAATGCCGGATTCTGGATTCCAAGGCCCAGTATTCCGCATTCCACGAGAAAAAATTGTCAGGATTCCGGAATCCGGATTACCTTACATGAGGCGACTTTTGGCAATCTTTCCCCCGGTTATTTTTTTATCGGTTGACCTCTTCTTCGGGCGTAGAAGGCCTATAAATACTACGGATGTAGTCGCTGGAAACCCTAGATTCCATCATATAAAAACTGTATTGTGTTAAACTGCTTTTAACACACTTTTTCAGATAGCAATCGTGCGATCGTATCGAGCCGCCATGTTTGTTTTGCATGTTGACACTTTTAAAGCTCGTGCTATGTTCACAACCAGATCTCGCGCAGTCAAAAATCCCTGTGGAGCCTCCTTTAAATTTTCAAAGCTGCAACTCTTTTTTTGACTAAAACTCCCCTAGTCACCTAGCTAGGGAATACTATGAAAGAATAATACCACGAAGGCCATGTAGTTAAAAAAAAAAGTAGTATGAGCTATATCGTAAAAGAGGTTATTGCTCAACGTGATGGTAATTGTAAACCGTATAATCGTTTGTCTCACGATGTAGTCACTTGAGACGTAGATTGCGCCTTTGTTTGGAAGCCTGGCATGCATAAAAGCTCCGCTCAAGCTCCTTTAAATCGTGCTGATGGCGGTTAACTACCTGACGCCTATTTACACCTTGTCAGAAAAAAGGGCAGCTAATTAATGAGCATATAAAAAGACCTCTTTGTTGAGGCCAATCCTCAACAAGAGAACAATTTTGTTTTCCTAAGTCCGTTCCATTCTATTTTTGTAATTATACTCCCAGCATGCTTAGTGAGCGCGTCTCAGTGTCGTCGTGTAGCGATAAAGAAACTATGTGCTTTGTAACGCGCTAGTCGCCGGGAGTTTCTCATCGTATGGTGAGTCTTAGGAGCTCGTGTATTTCCAAATCCCGTTCCAACAGTGATTAAGTGTTTGTTTTGTAGGTTTTTACTTGCGAGGTGAAGCTTGTTAGCCAAAGATGAGACTCCTATTCCGATCCTGTTGTGTTGTTAAGAAAATATGCTGAGTGTGCAACTCTCGATTATTAAACCTTGTGTTCAAGAACCCTTGTGTTGTGAAGGCGCGTTCTTTGTCCCCTGCACACTCTTGTTGCAACAACAGCGGTCTGTTACAACTTTTAGCTCAAGTTTTATTTTCTAAACGTTTCCTATAGTTATTAAAATTATACTCACATATGCCGAGACGTGAGTATGATGGATCTTTGGGTGGTTTACTTGCAGTAAAGCAGTTAGTGAAACTGTGGCCTGAGAAGGCCTTTGGATGGCGACAGACGTTATTTCTGTTTTTTTAAGAACGGAACCCTTTTCTTTGCGATTTCCTTACATATTCAGGCTTCTTCATTTCTTATTTGATACTGAATACTATGCCATTCTGATGTCGAAGTCTTTTACATTAGTGAGTTTCCGTACTCTTGTACGGCCTCTACATTTCCAGTTGATTAAGAGATAATTGGGCGGCAATGAACATTGAATCTTAACACAATGGGATCTTAACACTCTGGAATCTTAACACAATGAAGTCTTAACACAATGGAATCTTAACACAATGGAATCTTAACACAATGGAATCTTTGCATAATGGAGTCTTAACACGATGTGACGAGGACTGTAGCAGCTTATGCCATTATTACAAACATATTCTGTTTTGAAATGGCTCCTTCCCCCAAGCCCCTTCTTTTTCGAGAGAGGCGATAAATTGCTGATGAAATCAATCTTTCAAACTTTCAAGTCCTAAAAGCAATGACCCCAGTTGCACGTTGCTGCTATAAATGAAATCAATCCTAATGATAAAAAATTTAGTAATTTCTGAAATCTTTGGTTTGATTTTCCTAGGAAGCATTTAGGAGCATTTCCAAAAACGATGGAAAGTAATCAAAGAAGTTCGAACAAGACTGGTCCGAAACATGAGAATGGATGCGTGCTGAGTTTGACGGCAGCCGGTATAAGGAGACTTTGACTGAAGTGCACCAAGTCGAAACGAACATGTCCACTGTCCCGTAAATGGTGAACAGGACACCCAACAACCAGCTCTCACGCATGCGTGTTATAGCCGAGCCATGCACTCAAGAAAACGAGAACATTAGCCTACTTAGTGAACTGCAGGATGAAATCAAATTTTTAGTTAGAAATAGCAGAATCCATAGCTCTAAAAACGAGTGAGTAAACAGAAAAACTTAGGAAAGAGGGTGAGTTTTTAAAGAAACTGTGGTGCTTCGTCGATATGGGAGAGAATAACAAGTAATTTAGTGTTAACAACTGAGTTAAAAAAGTAAATTGGCCACCGTAAAGAGTTTAAAAGCTGACGTCTCGAGCGTTAGCCCCAAGTCATAGCGATAGATAGGGCTAACACTCGAAACGTCAGCTTTTAAACTCTTTACGGTGGCCAATTTACGTTTTCAACTCAGTTGTTAACACTTAATTACCAGAAAAACTAAAAAGCGCATTGGCAGAGCTGCAAAGGTCGAATATAATGTGTTCCAAGATGCGAACAGTTCTCCGAGAGTGAAACTCGAGGAAAACTATGAGCTTCGAGGAACAGATAATGTCCAAGGAAATACACGAGCGAATTTTCGCACCAAATGGAGCGGGGCCACTATGTTTATTATCCGCCAAATATTGACAACACTTACTATGTGCTACGTGAGATGTTTGCTGTCGCTACCATCCAACTTTAAGACGTAACTCGGATCCTTTCAGTGGATCAAAATATTACTAGTGTATCAATGACTAACAACGTAAACAAGTAAAAAAAAGCTGATACGTTAATAATTGTTTAATAATAATTATTTAATTTTTGGTTCGCCCCAACACACTCGAGGAGAGGTCATAAAAATGTAACTAAATTAATGAAATAGCAAAAAGGATCACTTTGTAAACTATAAATTACTTTGAAATATTTAAAACCGTCCAAACATGGCACATGTTGATATTCAAAAATTTAAAAAATGTGTACTAATTAACCTATCATATGCCGGGCAAAATTATTGAATCCCTCTGGCTTAGATAGAGGCGTGAGGGGCTATGAATCAATCTCTCTAAAATGTTTTAAGCTAGCCAAAATGGCTATATTTCGTCTGTTCATATACATAGCATACCATGTATTTCTCACCCAAGGCCGTCGTTCAACGGAAATTATTACTCAGTTTTATTTGTGTCCTAAAAGAAAAATTAACTTTCTACTATGAGGATTTCCAAGTAAGATCTTGCACGATGCTCGAGTGTGGATTCACTTAAATGCATATGATTTTACTACAGCAAAATATGATCATTCGACACTTAGGAAAATTGCTAGCAGCGTAACAAAAAATAATGTCATCTTTCGTATTGACATCTTTAACGATTAAGATGAGTAACACTCAATTTTTTCATTAAAAATCGTGGTTCAATCTTTCTTCTCGGTTTGTTCACGACTGAACACGCGATGAAAAATTCATAAGATATGACTACTGTAAATAAGACGAAGACTTAGTACACGTCACATTGCAGCTCGACATTTTAAACCGGTTCTGTTTAAAGACTTATGAAATTAAAAAAGAAAATTGATGAAATTAACTATCAGCCCACGTTAACGCGTCAAAAGTAATGATCAAAATACGAAAAATTTGTCGCACTGGTTACATTTATGCATTGCTTTCCGCCTGCCTTTTTAAGCTGTCTAATTTCCATTTGATTAATTATTCGCTTAAGTTGCTTAAACAACTCTGCCACATACAAATAACCATTTCAATGTCGTGAGATCCATTCCCAGCTAATGGAAGGAAGTCTGTTGTTGTTATCATTTCTTCCCTCTGACGTATGCGTACGCGCTGGATATGTAGTCCCTGATGCCTTTGCCCTTCGTGGTTGTAATAGCCATGGGGCGCCTCCTGTGTTTAATAAATCAAGTTTGTAGTTTATGATTGGTGAGTAAAGAGGAACAGGAAGCCATCGCTTCCGAAAAATCTATAATATTTACTTCTACCTCACAAGGTAACCAAACTTGTTTTCGCAACTGAGATGAATGGCTCTTAAAGGTCCTGAGTTGTAGCTGGCGCTCACGAAGATCCAGTAACATCACACACTAGATGCAATGACGCATTCGATATCCGTCTAACAACACTTTCAACTTTTCTTTGCAATAACTTAAAAGAATTAATCAAATATGAGGCCAATGGAGTTTTCACTTTCAAGCCGTGTAGCCTGATCATCCGTAGTTCTCAAAAGGACTGTTGCCGAGACCGTTTAACTGTTAACGGGCGTTTCGACAAACTGGATAGAAGGCATCATTGGAAGTTTGCTTCTCGATAATTGATTGCCATTTCTACCATAATGTTATTGGCTATACGAATCAAACAGTACCAGTCAGTTGTCGCTTGTTGTCAGTTTCGATATGTCGATAAAGTTAGTAATGTGATTACGAGAGAAGGAAGAGGGCGAAAATATATCTTCCGCGTTAACGTGGTAGTAAGTGCTCATCAAAAATGACATTGAAGAAATGTAAAATGGTTTCCGTGATAAGCGGGAAACCACTCCGCTTCGCGTCGTGGTTTCCTACACTTATCTCGTGTTCTTCCAACCTCCCGCGTGTTTACATCAGGCTATGTAAACACGGAGACCATTTTACATTTCTTTTATAAAATAACTAATGAAAGAGGAACGAAAACCGTGTTTACATACGCTCATGTAAAATAGTTTTATGGCCAATCAGAGCGCGCGTACTATTCGAATTATTTTATAAAGACTTGTTATAATTTGGTTGTTCCAACACAGAAAAAATAAATAAAAAATTACCTTTCTTCTTTGTGTGTTTTCTGCCTGCCTGACATGACACCATCTAAAGTAGAGGTAAAAATAGCGTAGTTAGCAGTTTTTTTGTAATTAGTGAGTTTTTTTTTAAAATCTACATCAGACAAAACCAGTCTTCTAAAATAATTCGCCTCAATAAAAACTCAGCTCATCAGTTTCGGATGATAGAAGTTGACATATTTCTGTCCCTACTATTAAGGAATACATAATTAAAGAAAAGAGGTTAGGGGAAATTGTTAGAATGAGAATGGAAAATTAAGTTTATCAAAATTGACAGTCGTAAAATTAGTTCAGGACTTTACCTAGAGCAATTTTCAATGTCTTCCCATTATGTTTCAGGGAACAAAGTTTGTCTTTCCTTTTATGGATATCTGTTGCAATGACTTCATGATTGCTTCCTGCGTTTGAAGCAAGGGTCCCCATGATGACTCTTTTTTTCTCCTCGTAAGTCTTCTGTTCCATCTTCATCTTTTCAATCTTCTTGTCGTCTCTGATCTTCTTCTCCTTACTCTCCTCTTCCTTAATCAGCATTTCGAGATAATCAGCAAAAGAGTCGTTATAGGGGATCAGAGCGTTCTCCTTCAGGAAGACACCAAAGTGGCTGGCACACTCATAGATGAAGTCTTTTTCATCGTTCAGTTCCTTGATATCCTTCTCTAACTCAGCAATGAGTGCTTCTTTCTGTGACTTCAAGTCTTTCTTCTCTCTAATGAGCTTCTGTGTTTCTGGAGAGAGGAATTCCTTTGGCTGGATAGTAGCTTTGTAGGAGATGTGCATGTGGACTCTGTAGTCGTGAGTGCATCTGTCGCATTTTCCCCCGGTCATTGCTGCACAGCCTCGAAGTTCCTCGTTGTTGGTGGTCTCTTTCGGAACTCGCAGGGAGCAGTGCTCGTGACAGACTTGACTATAAATTGTATTTCTCTCTCTAGTCTCACCGATGTTTTCATATTTCTTGCACCCTTCAGAAGTACAAACAGTCATGGGATAGTCAAGTCTTTCAATCTTCAGCTCATACCCTGTGAACTTTAGTTGAGCTTCGAAAGTCTTGATATTTTGTTCACAACCCGCCACCTCCTTTCTTCTATCTTCAATTGCTTTCAAATTCCTATTTATCAGGTCAACAGCTTCCCCCATCGGTTTGCTTAGGGCGATTATGTAGTTTCTCGCCTCGTTCAGGCTTAACGTCTCCTTTGTATCATGGGGCTTCAGTCCCAGCACTCGTGCCAATAGCTTGAGAGTTGTTTCGCGTGACTGGACCCAGCTCTCCGAGTAAAGATCGATTTCTCTCTGTGTGAACTCTTCCCCTTTCTTTTTGCAGGCAAGAAACCTTCAAATGACAAAAAATGTCAGTACCTCGGTACTATGATTCCTTGGTATAAAAAAAATTTAAGCATTTTTTACCTGATTCAGATGTAACTGTAACTTGAGTTTAAGATCCCCTTCAAGAAAGTGTCAAATGGACAAGTTTGAAAATGATATGATAAAAAGGGGTTACGCTTTGTTATCACGGTGTTTACAATTTCTAAATGCAGTGAATAAATTTGTCACACGGTGTATTCACTCTAGATGTGGCATGGATCCACATAAAAAGTACTCAACGTAACTCTAAAATTTACGTTATCGTAGTATAATTATACCTGAAGGCTTCGTTGTCAAAGCAAAAATAGTTTTCCTTTGAGACATCGATCGAAATCTGTTTTTCGTTTAGAAGTTTCTTCAGTGCTGGAAGAGTGTCTCCTGGTCTGTAAAAAGTTCCCCTGGAGTTGGTAAAGGCGAACATTATGTTGGAGACCAGTGACTTGTGAAGGTGGGTCAGCAATTCCAAGACACAGAACTTAAAAGCCACCGTCAACCTTGCATTGTTTGGTTTGAGAAGCACAACAACGGCACTTATCTTGTCGAAGCATTGAAGGAAGTCCAAGGTGTTCGCAAAGTTTTTCTTATCCTGATCAATTCCCCTACTGTCCCCGATGCCTGGAGTGTCGATGAGGTGGAACCTTTCAGTGTCTGACTCAAAGATATACTCCTGTGGGAACTGGGTGGCGGACTCTCCGGTTTTGAAAACTTCATTTTCATCAGATCCAAAGGAAATGTCCACCTCCTCCCCATCTTCATTTGTAAAGGAAAACCTTAAATATAGAATTTTCATCGTGTATTTAAATCATCTTGGCTGGTTGTACTCCAAGAGGGTCTCAATCGCGTTAACCGTGAAAATTAAACCGTAAAAGTCATCACCCCATTGAGACGCTCTTCCAATAGTGTTTTGTAACCCTTATCCTTTTTTACTTCGAAGCAGCAAAACATGAAAATTGATAAATGTTCAACTGCACCAAGCATCAAACCCTGTTTAACTTTATTCTTGCTATAACGACATATAATAAATTTTCGCTGTCAAAACTTTTTGTTGCTGATTTTTAATAATTGGATCCTGTAAGAGTTTTTTTGTATCGAGTTGGAAGAACATTTCCGGGTAATGGCGTATTTAATTAATTCGAAATGTTCATGGTGGAGACGGATGCGACGGGATCCGAGGTATTCTTTATATTTTTCGATTAGCAAAGAAAGGCTTTCCCTGCAGAAATTTATTTACCTTCTTCTAAGGACTCAAGGTCTATTGAGAAAACCACAAGAGCGAATTAAATTGGACTCTCAAAGAGCTGTAACAGCTCTTACTTTTGTACAACGGTGTATTAACTCGAATTACAGAGTAACTCTCAAATTCTCTCCCTTTACTACTGTGTAAACATCTTCGCGGAAGATAAGAACGTAAATATCATAACTTGGGGTTGATTTCAACTTTCTGTGCGATACCATCTAATCCTGATCAAGCTTCAGAGTCACGCTCGACAAGTTAAAATAGGAGGTCATACACTAGCCATGGGGTAAAAAGGATGCTTATTTATTATACCTGAATGGAATCAAGTAAGTAAACTCAGGGTTATCCATGGCAGTTGTGAGCTGCTCATGCTTGAAGTAATTGACGATTCCATTAATCCAGGTGGACTTGCCAACCCCAGTCTCTCCCAGTATGAGAATGTTGACGTCTTTTTTCTTCTCTACCACTGCTTTCTAAAATAAAGGAAATAAGGGGCCAGTCATTATTTATCATCTCTATGGCTCTGAAATCTGTTGTAATGATTGCCCCCACCCCCTCTCCCTTGTGTCATTTTAAATTGGTATTCAATTTTCTAAAGTCCATCCTCTATACTCTGTAGGTGACAACTAGGCCCACTCCCTTCCCCTAAAAAGTGACACACCCCTCTCCCCCAGCGATGAACGACTCATCTTTAAAATTAACAGCAGCTAGATGCTAAAAAGGGAAAGATTTGTGTTGGGTGAAGTTCTTAAAGAAATTCAACGAGGACCGTTATCATTCTAATTCTTTCGATTAACTTTTGACTGTCCTGGTTTAGTTCAGAGAAAAATCTTAACTTTTGTCCGCACATCAAATCCCGCTTCTTGTATTCTTCAGAAAGGCAGGAAATCTACAGTGATGGTATCACCAGAAAATTTGAATGTATGGAAAAAAAACTTATGTGTAGCGAGAAAACAACTTGTCAATCCCTGTGCCGCATTTAACTACCCCTGAGGGAAGCTGATCTGAAGAAAGTGACGTCAAAGACTCATCATTGATAGAGGTTTGATTTTTGCCACAAGCAGAGAGCCAAACATCAATGACGGGAGATGCAGACTGCAGCATATCGTTCAAACGCTGCTTCTGGGGTTTTTGTTATCGTAAACAAGTGCGACTGGGAGAGGTAGGACTTGGAGGACGTTTTGAGACAACTGTGAACGTGGAATATTCAGACGAAGACTCTTTTTCCTTTTTCGCTTCTACTTCCTGAGCGTGATCTCGTCCATGAGTTAGAACATGTATTTTGCTAGTTTGTTCCAGTTACAGTACATAAATACTTGAGAGGTAATTAAAGATAATTTTTAAGATATTTTTGCGCGATGGAAAATTAACGATGGAAGGCTTGTTTTCATAGACAAAAGTGGTATCACTAACGCCGTTACACAATTCTGTAAACAAATAAACCAAAATTAAATTGACATTTTTCGCCACTGGGGCCCTTCAAGTTAATCTCACTAACCTTTTTTCTCAGTATGTTCCTCCATTCCTTGTTAAATTTTCCGTTTACATCGCGACCATTAAGAGCATCCACATAAGCCTTCATACATGCCTTCAGCTTGTCTGGACCCTCACGCTTGTTCATCGACGAAATTGCTTCAAGGAATTCTTTGTAAATTTTGTTGACCTTACTAAGAAAATCTTCCACATCATCGTGGGTTCCATTTTCATTCTGAAAATATGCCTCAGCAAGGCCTTTTGTGATTCGCAGATCATCAAAACAGCTCTCCAAGTTCTCCATTTCATATACTGATGCCTGCTGTTGCAGGTAAACTTTCGCTGTTGGAATAATGCTCTTTATGGGCACAAGTTCAAACTGGAAAGACAAAGGGTCTTGTTACACAAACCGTAAGCTGCAATTGACCGTTCAATAACTCATTTGCATTTTTATACCTTGTTTGTTCAACCCGCCATCAAAAGATAATGCTCTGGCTACGCTATATTAACCTTCTAACACCAAGACCAAATTCACTCCATCATCACCTCAACGAACAAAACTTCAACATTCAGTTCACCAAGTAAGTCGAAATATCTGGAAAAACTTCCTTTTTCTCAACTAGCTGGGGAACTGAGGACTCACAACGAAGAACCGACGCATACTGGCAGAAGAATACTAGACGAAAAATAGGAAATAATAGGAACCTCAACACAAGAGGGATTTAACACAAATGAGCAACAAGAAATGTCGATGGCAACAATTACATTGCTAAACATCATCGACTTAAGCACGTGACATGATTAACTGAGAATTCACGAAATCCTTAACCAACTGCACTTAGTTCTTTCAAAGACTGAGTAAAGAAGGTTGATTTACTAACAAAACCACAATTGAACCAAACACAACGACAGATCGAAACTGACCAATCACGACTCACGTAAGCTACTTGAATCTTACAGCCGAAACCATCACAGCGAAACTGACCAATGAGTGAACACGAACTGGACTTATAGCCCTCTACTGACAATAAGTCCTCACTCGACTCTGATGATGACTTCAGCTGAGGTTGTCGAAACGCCGATCACTGCTATCTTCCAAGAATACTATCACCCAGAACATCAGACTACATTATCGATAACATATCGTCCAGGTCTTGTGACAATAATATTTCAACAATGTAATAGTAGAAAAATTAATTTTTTTAGCCTAAAACCTTGATATTATTTACCAAGAATAATAAATAAAGGGGAGAAAATGCGGAAAACATTTCGAATTTCATTATGTGTGTTATGTAAATTTTCAGGAGAGAATCTTACCTTCATAGGAATCCCTTTACCATCATTAAACTTTTTCAGTCGAGAAGGAAAGTTTTCAATAACTGAGACTAGATCCTCCATGGTGGTTGGAAGTTTGTCTGGTAGGTCTGTGGCGTAATATTTGATGGCTATATCTGATACATCGCTGCATTCTGCCGATAGTTTGTCTAACGAAGCTTTCAGTCCTGCATTAACAACTCCAACGTTTAGTTCTCCTTCGGCTTTTCCTTTGATTTGTTCCCTAGATATGAAAAATAAATTTTGGAGAATAATGCTTGCCTTGTTAGCTTACATGTAGATGCCAATAAAGCTAAATGTGGATAGCCTGTCTACGTTGAAAAAAAGGATCATTTGCTCGACTCCAGCATGAGGAGGTTAAATGTGACCTCCTCCCCTCATGTACAAGTTAAACGAAGGGGGAAAACTGAATACATCGCTGTTAAAAAATCTGCTATGACACTTTTCCTACCTTTGTCAACTCCGTTGAAAAAAAGTTAATTATTATCTTTTTGTTAACTTTGTCATTTTAATGTCGTTGCAATAGGTGAAAAGATGAAACTAAAAAATGACGTTCTTTTTCTATCAGTATGCGTGTGACATTCACTGGATACACTAACTTACATTAAAAACACTGGACTTAAAATTGACCATTTCAATTTATCATCGCGCAAAAGCACCACTTTCGACATTTTTATCCTCGCAGTATGCGAGAAGTTTGTCACTTTGGACCTAGTTAAACGGCCTACTCCGCCAAGAGTCTCATATCGTTCAGTGGTAAAGCATCCGTTGAACCATTCGGAAGGTCGTACGTTCGACTGCTATTGGGAGCACTCCGTGTTCCTTTTTTCCAAGTATGCCTGCCTCTGTCTTTCATAGAATACATCATCTTTAACTAACATTGACATATTGAAAAGACGCTCATCATCGGGGAACATTTCTGAGACGATTTATTTTAATGATTAAACATATGTTAAGCTGCAAGAAACTACAAAATTCATGAACAGAATCCCTTTCTGTACGCGCCAAAACTGGCTTTGCAAGAGGAGAGGAGCTGTTAGAATTTTTCAATTTCGGCATTTTTAGTAAGCAGGCCAAGAACAAGGTATGGAAAGTAGCCATAAATAAGAAGTCTCTGGAAATATCTCGAAAATCTTTGTCATGCTTGAAATAAATCAATAAAAATTGCTTCTTTGAATCTATATGTAACATAACTGCGAGACATACTTGGTTGACTTGGATGAAGACTTAAATTTCAGGCTGGCTACCATCTCGACACCGTACGTGACGCTCCTTACGTAGTGAGAACCAAGTGAGTCAAGAAATTCACCCTCGGCGAGATCTTCTCTTGGTTTCACTGATCCGTCGATTGTTTCAACAACCTGTGGAATGGATGTGTTAAACGTTGTTAGTTATTGGGAAACTGTTGTTTGAAATAAATTTTATAGCTGATTGAAAATAGGAGAACGGGAAATGGACAAAACTGACTAATGCACTCTGATTGGCTACTCAAACTCCGAATATCCTTTGCTATTCACTTCCGGGAAACTCGCCTGAGATTTGTGCCCAAAAATGTTGTACTCGTTGCAGAATTAATGAATTTAAATTTAATTTTTGCGCTGTATTAACTTACAGTTTTACTTTGTACTAAAACAACCATTCACCTCAGTGTCTGTGGCTAGCGATGACTCTTTACCTCGCTGTTTAACGGCTCCGTTTAACTCCAACCTCCCACTAACTAAACGAAGATCCGATTTCCTTTATATTTGACTGCACTTATCCAGTAATTTACTATCAGCTGACTCGAACTCGCCATTAACTCGACCTAATTTTACTTTCCCTTGGCTAAAACTTATTCCAATAACTAGAGCTTTAAACAAAAACGCCGGTCGAAGATAGAACGTGATAATATTTATGAAAACATGGTACATTGAAATAAACTTCCTGAACTAAACGTTTTTATCAAAAAAGCTCTTATAATTAAATTTACGAAAATAACTGTTGATTGTGTAAGAATAGTAAAAACATGATTCCTTATTGATTGTTAACAGGATAATTGAAATTCAACATCAATTTCGTTTCCCTCAGAGGTTCGAGTTAGCAGCGTTCTACTGTATTCCAAAACTTGACATCCGCCCTTTTATGTTTAATTTGGTTGACAAATGCCGCCTTGCGATTCTTCAGCAAACATACGTACCGTAGTACATTTCATCACAGCCAGAAGACTAGTTGTTCCCTCTTCTAACTTGCTCTCATTTATATACTGCCCTGCCCCTTCCACTTTCAGCAGATTGGCTTTGATTTTTAGTGATAATTCACCAGATACGTCCAGTAAGTCATTGACGTCTTTGCTGCTTTTAACCACTTGGTATTTGAAGGAAAACTTGTTGGAATCTATAGACTTAATTGGTAAGTCATTGCTCGATGGGAAGACATCCGCGCATGCTCTCGAAGTTTCCAAATCAAATGTCCGACCAAGGCACAAAGTGGGTGATGTATAAGCGGGGATGTCCATTTTCTCTTAAAGATAAGAAATGAAAGAAATCAGCACATAAAGAGAGCTTTTTTGTTTTGATGGACACACCTCTGCTGCTAGATGCGTATTACGAGCATTGCTTCGGCTTGTTTTCGGAAAGAATCTTTAACAACCTCAACTTTTTTATGAAAGAATCATTCAGAAGGGTTAGAAATATTTACCAAACAGTTTAAATTTTTGATTTCATGTACGTTTTGAAGTATTTTTCGAGCCACCTCCAAGTCCAAATCCGTGATTATTTACCACCAAAAACTTGACGTAGAAAAGTCAGTTAAAATACAAAGTAATAGGTAAGGAGGCCTGAACAAACCCTACGGCTTTTATCAAGATATGCCCTCAATAACTCGTATGAATCATCAATGACTCATGAATATCAGGTGGCGTGGGTGATTCTGAATGTTCGCTTTTTGGATTGTTCGTTGGTTGAATTATTTTAAAAAAAATGTTCAAACTTCACCTAAAAGAATTTGAAAGCGTGCCTGTTGTTAAATTATAAGCCTGCACTGAAATTAGCGGGCAGCCTCCAAACTGGCTTGGAGGTACAAATGACAGATCACCAAACCGCCAAGATTTAGTCTACGAAAGTCTATAATGCCACGTTATTTGGCTGTAATTTCTAGAAAATTACAGCCAAAAATGGAAAAAAAAGATAGCAAAAATTGAAAAAAAATAGCAACCTATCCACTAATGACTGCGCGCCAAAACACACCCGAGCACTTTAAATAGCGACACGTAACCTTTCGACCTCGTCGCCTGAGGAACTTTGAAATAGCAGTCGAAAAGTCATTACAATCGATGCTTGACTCTACATCGTGAAACAAACGATTTTAAAACGTTCATTTTTTTTATGTAATCACGATGAACAACAACATCTTCCCTAAGGCTAGAATTCCGGGCAAAAAATTTACATTGTTGCTGCCTCATTTAGATGGAAAAATTACGTGACTAAGTCACTGGTCACGGTGAATTTCAGTATGTGCTTTTATAGATTACATGCAGTCCCTCCTTTTGGACGAAGTCCGTCGTGCGAGTCATAAAAAAAAATCAGAGCTTAAAAAAAAAAATTGAAAAAGAAGGAAAAAAGAAATTATTTTAGCGCGCCGCTGGTAGCTCCTGGAATGAGGCACTTATATAAATTTTTTCTTCATTGATTTTTTTCGACCTGCGCCACGGACTTCGCCGAAAAGGAGGGACTGCTCGTAATCGTAATGCTGTTATCGCCGGTTACGCTTACTAAAATCCTGTAGTTTGGTTCATACAGGTTTGAATAGATTAAGCTCTCTAAATTCAAACATTAAAGAACAGAAACCAATTTTTTTCAAAAAAAGTTTCTCATTAACACGTTGATCGAAAGCTAATCAATATGATATTTGATACGTTTTGTTCACCTTTTTCGTCACGAGAAAGAATCATTTGCCAGAATTTAGCCGTTTGAAATGTTTAAAGAATCAATCAGTGTATTCTAAAAGCTCTGCCCTACTATATTTTCTCTTCAAAATGGTTAAAATCTTAGATTTATCAAGCTACCAATATAAGTCGGAGTTTGCTCAGCTAACTAATTTGCATGATTCTGCTGTCACGATAGCAAAATCACTCGCACCATAAGTTTGAAGTCACTAAGGCGAAAGGAATAAATAAACGCAAGATGTTTTTACATTTCTATGCTTTTCAACATCTCATTAGAAGAAATCATCCAGAGTTTTCAATGGTCTGGTCTGGACTGGACTCTGGTCAAACTCATATCAAAATTGAAATGCTTTCCAAACCCCTTATATCACACAATTTAGGAATACAAACGATTTCTTGCTGCATATTGTGTGTATCGGGGAGTAAGCTTGTAAACTTTTGAACTTTTCGATGTCGCAAGAGGTCAAAAAAGGACCTTTTGCGGCTTTGATTATTGCGAGCTCTCAAAAAAAATTTTTAACGTATTCCCAGAAACCGATGTGGTTTTATTTACTTTCTACCAAAGATAGTTTAATGGGCAAAGTTTGAGTCAAAACTTTTTTCCGATGCGAAACGCCTTGGACCGCTCTTACCAGAGATCGCCACTTAGTGATGCTTTGGAGTGGATGGTGTGAGGATACATCAATGTTTCAATTTTGTGTCTCCAAGTCTTCGACTAATGGTGCGAGTTTGAAAGGATGAATGAGAATCTTAGCTGCCTACAATACGTTTTTCCTTGTGTATAGCAAAAGGAGGCAAAAACAAGTTGTGTGAAGAGGCTTTGTTCCTTTACAAATATATATTTACATTACACCGATACGCAGAAATCCTCGAGGAGCTGAGTTCCATGGAAACCTGACATGTTTTTGCTAAGCCTATTTGCTGTTAACGCGTGTTAGTGATAGCTTTTATTCTTACTTCTTCCTCTAGAAATGCAGAAGATAACCTTAAGATTGTATTTGGGTCGACAGGGAGTACCCTGCAATTTACTGAAATTCGCAGGAAACCGCGATCGGAGCGAAATTGCCTCTAGATGGAATTATAATTACCTCGCATCATACGCAACAGCGCGACCGAAGCCACACGCTTTGCCTTTTCTTGAAAAAGGGGGGAACAACAGCAATTTGACACATATCAAGCTGGAAGTACTCACTGCGTAAAATGTGGATACAGTGATAGAGCCCATTTTAACCATGACGAAGCTCGTGCGATGATAAAGGAATAAGTAAACTTTACTTGTTAGGTTTTATTTTATATTAGAGAGCCTTGCATTTCCACCATGGTATATTGACGAGAAAACGATGTTTTTGAAGCAATATTGTTGAGCTGACATTGCAGGGGGAGGGAAGTGTGACGAGGCCAAAGAGCAGAGATATTTTGGGATTTCGGGGAACTTTTTATCACCTGATAACCATGTGAGATGGTCATATAATCGTATCACTTGATAGTCACAAGATCAAGGGTTGTTTCCAGTGTAAACTTCGGTGGTTTCCTGTTTTCCGAGAATTTAAATACTCCGGCACATTTGCATTACAAATTGCATAACAAATAGATTTTGGAAAGCTTCAAATCGAAGCTCCGGATAGTTTATTCAGATAAGATTGTGTGCAATTTTCAAGCCAGGGAAATGACGCGACACGCTGAAATTGTGTTCATTTAAAAGATTTCGGCCGTGTGTAATTCAATTTCGCTTAAAGTTAGAGATCTCGAAGTCTCGAAGGAGCCAGTCTCTACGAATAACGGGGTACGTTTCCAAAGAAACTGTGGTACTGCGTCTGTGAGAGAGTATAACAGGGTAATTTGGTAATATCAACTTAATGATGAAGTAAATTTGCCACCATAAAGAGTTTAAAAGCTGACGTTTCGAGCGTTAGCCCCTCGTCAGAGTCTTTACGGAGTCAGCCTCGCAGAGAGGACAACCGACGCGCATGCAGATATATTTAACTAAGCGAAGAGATTCGCCGAGCAATTTCGTCATTGCAAAAGGAGCCGCTGGTTTTACACACCCACGGATCAGACAAAGCCAGCTAACTTTAGTGAGGTAATTCAATTCTAACTCATATTAGTAGCCACTATGTCATCTTAGAAAACATATTTCTGAGATTGGCCCTGTATGCTTAAATTAAAACCGACCAAGAGCGTATATCTTGTCAATTCACCTGAGATACCTTGCCTCAGACTTCAAAAGGCCTCAGCGTTGGTTCCTTAATTTCTGGCAAACTGGATATTTCCGCTTCGCAATATCTTTTTAAAAATTTCATTAATGCGTTCTGCCCAAAAGCGACTCACGCCCAGACAAAGCCACCAAGTAAAATCACTTAATTCATAGCGATGGTCATGTAAAATACCAATTTATCTCGGTATTCTCAGATACAAAAGAATTGACTCCCCTGGCCTCATCTTCACTTTTGAGGGTTAACCCTAGAGCTTTAGAGCAAAGCACAACTTGCACAACAAAGCACAATTTGTACAACAAAGCACAACTTGTACAAACACGTTGCAATGATCTATGAGATGGATACTGAAGCAACATTTGACTCGAGACTATATCATAAAACCTACCGTTACTCGAGGAAAGCAGCGAGGGGCGAGAAAGCAGATCGGACAGCACCCTTGCCGATGTCACTTCTTCAGTTAATCCAACGATTAAGAATATTATCAATAGATCGTAATGTAAAAATAAATTGTAGCTGCTTTGCAACTTACCAGCGGAAGAAAATGACCCGAGAGTAATCAGGAGAAGGAAATAGGCTGCAATACAGGCACCGCTTGCTTTCGTTATAGTCCTAGAGAGACAGCTACCTAAAGCAGCAGCCTCCTTCCAATCGAAGAATCTTTGAGTCGGGCCTTTATATAAAACGAAACATTCTACGTCACTATATTAACTTGACAGTGGGTGACCCCAGGCCAGAACTAAAATACTTTTTCCTAGAAAGTATCACAAAGTGAAAATCCTGTCACTGCAATCGATGAAACATTTCTCACAGTGACAAAGTAAACATCATACTCAAATGTCACTAAAAGAGAATTACGTTTTGGCAACAGTGTTGTATTTGTCACTGGTTCGTGGAGTTTTCTTCCAACCCAGATGTTTTTCTGTAAACAAGATGAATTAAACAGTATGCTCTTTCTTAGAAAGTGACATAAGGGAAATTATATAAAGCCGTCGCATTGATTGTTGGTCAAGCGATACGTAATTCTATAACCGCAATATCGTGAATGGCCCCTCTGTGAAACATATCTTAAAAATGCTGTTCACCCAAGAACCCTCCTGCCCTTTGTGACGGAAAGCACTCTCAAGGTTGTTGTCGGTATGAATTCAACAATAATACTTCTCTGAAAAAGGTTAAGGTCAATCTTTTGCCTGAAACGGTGTGCTGTGACTGTCTAAATAAACTGTTTGTACAAATCACAGCAAATTTTTTCTTGCCGAGTAATTGAATCTTAATTGCAGAATAGTCCCGTCGACAGGTTTGACTGAATTGTCTCCTATTTGATCGGAAGTAGGTATCATAGGATAAAATTTTGAGAGGTTTCTCTTATCATGGATGCAGAGGATCTCATGGTCTCATTTCCCAAATTAAGATGCCAGTTTCATTTTGCGCAAAGTAAATTGTATCTTGGCAATTGTTTGCTTCAAAGCCTCTGATTAAAAATGAGACATAATGACACCCGATCCGCCCCTTACTCAATCTAAAACCCACTTCTCAGAACCGCCTTAAAAGTTCCTTTGTTTCTCGGAGACCTCATCTAGCTAAGCTAATTACCTGCCTCTGAACTTCCCCAAAATGTCACGCCAGATACAAAATTTACATTTCCGTGGAAAAGGGAATTTCGGAAATTACGTCATTTCCGCTTTGTAACTTGCAAATGCAAATTGTAACATCAAAACGCTCATTAAACTTTCAGGCGACTGAAGCTCACCAACAGTTACAAACATCTGGCCACCTTGTTGGTGAATCGAGCGGAGTAATGTGGTGTGACGGTGTTCCATTGCAATTCGAAGCTAAGGATGACTTTAAACAATTCATTTACTCGCCATTGTGTTCGTATTCCTCGGATTACCATCGAAACAAAGAAGTGAAGAACTATTTATTGAACGTCGCTGTTAACGGGACTGTGTCTGTCCTTAAAGGTCTCGCCGCTGCTTCGATAAGATATCAGCGCAGAGAAGAGACAACCACTGATAGAGAAATGATTTCTCTATCTTCTTCAGTTTATGCACGGAAAGGTTTCCTCGTCTGTGAAAAAGAAAGACCAGCTTATTATGACAAAGGTATATTATTTGAGATAGAAGGACTGGAAATTGGCTTGGAAGAACTTTTAATCGTGACAACGGAAGTTGAAAGGTAGGTAAGCGAGTCTCTAGAATCTAGTGTAGTTTTCGGTCGACCTGCTAGAACGGTTGTATGTAGATAGACTTCGCTGTGTAATTCCATACGACAAATAGCGAATTCTAAGTAACTAGCAAACCTCGTTATAGTCCTGCGAAGAGTTTCGAATATTTTACATCCCAAAAGGCTTCCCTGCAAAACTTGAAACCTCGACCATAGTAGTGCACTGTAATCGAGAAGTATTGGAGAGCATTATGACTATTATTGGCACGGCTAACTCACTCAGTTACACCACTTTTCTTTAAATGTGTGTTCACCGCAAAGTCACATCATTGCGTGACTACTTAGACGGCCTTGCTGAGCGATTGTCACGGTTGTGAAAACATTTCTGGTTGATTAAGAAAAATTTAGGTCAACGGCAAGATATCAGGGGGGAACGTGGAGTCTTAACACAATGTGATGAGGGCTATAGCAGTTTACAGCTGCATAGCAGGCTTAATTTTGGCGAGCGAGTGCTCAGTATTTTTCTTGGTGAAAATAATAGCTGCCATCTTTGATTTTTACAGCAGCAGAAGGTTGGAGAGAGGAAGAAATTTGCACCAAGGGGGTGAGCGATAGACAAGAGGAAGAGAAGGGGAGGGGAGGGAAAAAGAACTTTTGCCCTTTCCCAGCCTCCTTTACCCACTGTCCACTCTAACTTTTAATCAAACTTGCAACGTTAACTTACCCCAAAACAACCTCGTTCCCAGGGTCCTCTCTCTTCCTCCCTCGAGAATTTAGTAGAGAGTTTAGGAAACAACGACGGCGACGCCGTGGACGTCGGTTAAAAAAAAGAACTTATGTTTTACCTACGAATCTCGCGACACTCTAAAGTCATTTGGGTTTTTTTTTCTTTTCTCTGTCAAAACTACCTCGAAACTGAATATTGAACACAGCGTTAAATTAGAAATAGAAATTTAAAAATTAGCCGTCGTCGCTCACGTTCTTCAGACAACGCAAAGTTTGGTCATCTCGCGTGGTTGTTTTGCAAAGGACGCAGAGAAATTTACAAAGATTTATAGTGCACGTGCACAGCCATTGTTCAGCTCATTATATCTTTTGTTTAGTAACGTTCCCAATGCCGTTGCCGTCGCGGTTTTCTTAAACTCCCTAGTATCTCGAGGGAAGGAAGAGAGAGGACCCTAGGAACGAGGGTTTGCCCCAAAATCAGACATCAGTGCTGCAGGCTATGACCCCCTTTGTCTTTTAGAGAGGCGATCAACGATGACCTCAGTTTAATCTTGCCGCTATAAATGATATCACTCTTAATTAAGAAAAATTGTTAATTTCTGAATTCTTTGGTTTGATTTTCCTAGGAAGCAAACAAGAACAGAGAACAAGTTGGAGATTAAAGCCAGAGTACTGTTCTTTACAATTTCCAAAAAGATGGAAAGTATCCAAAGAAGTTCGAGCCAAACTGGTTTTGTTGTGATCCACCATTACTCGTCCAAGACAGGAGAATGGACACGTACCGAGTTTGACGGCGGCCGGTATGAGGAGGCTTTGGCCGAAGTGCACAAGATCGAAACACACATGTCTGCTATCCCATATGAGGTGAACAGGGCACCCAACAATCAGCTCTCACGCATACGTGTTATAGCCGAACCATCCGCTCATGAAAACGAGAACATTAGCTTTCTTGTTGAACTGCAGAATGAAATAAAATTCTTTCAGTTAGAAATAGCAGAATCCGAAGCTCTCCAAACGAGTGAAAAAACTGAAAAGCTGAAGAACGCACTGGCAGAGTTGCAAAGCTTGAAAGTCAAGGGTTGCTCTTGGGAGACAGTTGATAACATTAAAAGGAAGATTAAGTAACTTTCTTAGAGAAGTAACGCAAAAACCATCACATAGTTTTTTTTAAGGATCAACTTATATGATGAGGTGAAAGAAAAATCGTAGACCAAACCACTAGCATTTCAGAGTCAACTGATACGTGAATACCTCGAATCGGACACTGTGAATTAGGCTTTCCCCAAAAGAGCGTTAATTACCTCATGCCCTCTTGATTGCACTAATGATTCCTTTCTAGATTTCTTGATTGGGGTGAAGCAATTTTAAGCGAGGATATCTTGCTAGTAAGCAGGTTACTTATAACAAAAAACTCAGTTTTACACTCGGTATATAGAGTTGTTTGCTTGCTGATGTTTATTTTTCATTGAATATTACGTATAAATGTACAAAACTAGATACAATGCGTCACTGAAGGAAATTTCTCAGTAAATCTTCCTGGTTGTGTTTAAGACGAAAGGTTTGTTGTAATTCAGAAGCAATGTTAATCATCACAATTTTCTGGAGACGAAGAATGACTGACTTCTTGTTGCAAACGTTCACCAATTAACGAGAGTCTCCTGCCTGACTTAAGCGTAGCTGCATCAGCGTGTGGTTTGGGTCTGTTATAAAAAAAATACACAAAAGCAAGAGGTTATAAATTGTTATAATTTCTTGACATGGGTGACGTTTGAACTTCAAGAGAACCAAATTGAAATGGCTTTTGAGTTTCAAAAATAATAAAGACTCATTAACAGTGTACATAAAATTGTTTTTGTACTAGTCCAAAAATTATAATTCGGTAAATTATGACAAGCATTATGAAATACTTAAACGCCTTAACTCCCAGGTATCACCAAACCTTATTTGATAAACTTTGGCTTCGGATTAACTTCCAACGGACACTTACGCAAACCCTAACCCTAACCCATATCAAAATTAAGAGGTTGAGTTATCTGAACTGTAAAAGTAGTCTATTGAATTATTCTTAGATCTTGCGGTAACTTGTTTCGTATGGGGTCAGCAGCTCATTTGCAGGGGTGAGGGGGGGGGGGGGTCAGGTAAACTTTATCGTGATACAAGCAAATATCCTCCATTTCCCCTGAAAACAACGTATCCCCCAAAAATTCCTCCACTCCCTCCCCCCCTCCCCCCTTTATAAGGTCCAGCAATTACACCTCTACACGCACACTCCTACTGATGCGTAACTTACAAGAAGCCACTGCTATTCTCTCGATCGGCTCTCTTGCCTCGGATCTCTCTCAGCATGTTCTTACGACAGTTCAACATCTTAATATGACTCATTCGGTCTTTCAGGTCTTGAACCTGCAACATAGACAAGGTAAAACATGAAAAATCTAAAAGCACTTTTACAGCAGAACTTTCAGCATTTCTCATCATTTACTCTGACACGGAATGAGCAGCTATGACGACCAATTTTACCCAAGAGAGTGTAAAGATTTCAAAGGTATATATTTAAAGTACACAGCCTTCACTCAGTCCACTAAAAGTTTTCTTTCCCAAGGTGGTACTTTTTATTGTAAGATTTGGGTCATTTCAATACGATAGAATCAATTACAAAAACGGACCGTGTTACAGTTTTTGACGTGAAAACCGAATTGATCACGTGAACAGTTCACCATCTGCAAATTTCGGACGCTGATTAAAGCCAGGAGTATGACAAACCCTATACAGACATTGATACAAAACCAGTCTGACCTTTGTAATGGCGAAGACATCCAGCAGTTGTTTCTGAACATCAATCAACATATCTATAGCCTTGGCTTTCGCTTCATCACCGTCTGAGATCTGACTCATGGTTTCCGTGATCCTTCGGCATTTTTCCTGGGCCTCTTGAATTGACACTTCCTTTTGATGAGACTTTCGTAAGAGCTCCTCTTGCATGCGGTTCTTGTGGTCTTCTTGGTTCTGTTTGATTTCAGTCTTTCTGACCTTCTTTTCCCTCTGATGATGGAGAGGGTTTAAAATAGGCATATTATCATGGTGGAATTCAACTGGATATGGTACAAAAATTGGGTAAACCTCCCTGACTACGAATTGCTAGTTCCAAACTAAGTGTTTGAAAGCAAAGCTCTGTCAGCTGAGACGAACTGAATCGAGTTTAAACATCACATTACTGGCGTTGGCCAGATCTCTTAGAGATAACTTTTCTGTCCTCAATCCCAACCCCCTCACTCCTCATCCAATGTTGCAACTAAGCATAATTAAACATAATGTAAAACACGTCACGTGGACGGAGCTGAATAATGAATGTGCATGTCTATACATGCAGTATATATTTTTTATCTGACCGTTATTCTAAAGTGTTGAAAGTCGTTATATCCTTCATCAACTGAAACTGTCATTTAATAAACTATCACTGAGGACCGCCCAACATCCATGTATTAATGTAGACTAACTTTCGCAAAATGCTTTTTCGCGATCAAACAACAGCAACTTTGGTGTGCAAAGGGTATTTTTTTGTCCCCGTTGTAAGACATTCTGCAGCGAAAGTTTTGAGCATAAACTTTCTCTGCTTGCCTCTTAAACCAATGACAAAACTGCACCGCTTTTCAATTTTTCAAGACTCCATCCATTTCATTCTGGTGTTGCTATGGTTTCATGCATGAGCCCATGACATAAATTGACATGCGCCGATATTTTTCAGCTCTGTCCATCACGTGTCAGCCAATTTTTCTAGCTAGGTAAAGTAGAATTTACTGATCAAATGAAAATCCGAGAAAAACATGTTGACAAATGCAATTTGTCCACTCGTGGTTGGCGCCTACGGTTAGCTCGCGATAAAACCTCATCGTTACATAGGTAAAGATTTTTAAAAATTCTTAACCCCTTGAAAATATAGGTTATGAAACAAAGCCAATGTTTGTAACCTTTTCCCAGAGCCTATTTGGAATATGATGACTTAAACGATGATTAAGCAGACCTTGATTTTGGAGAATATTTTCAATAATTGTTCTTGAACTTCCAAAAGCGTGTCGGTGGTTGAACCTCGTCGATCGATCATTTGTTGCTGATGCAGTTCAATTCGTCTCATTCTTTCTTGTTCCATGATGTCCTTCTCATTTTTTGCTGGCCGTCGTCTAATTTCTTGCAGCATCATCTCCTTCAAGTCCTCTGTTTTCTCCCGATCTTTTACTTCCTTAGCGGCGTCGGCATCCTAAGAGCAAAGCAAAGGATTTTATAATAATAATAAATAATAATAAACTTTATTTACGTGTCAAATAAGATAGCAGTTTCCCACTAAGTAAGGACACCTAAACTAAACTAATCTAATCTATATAAAACTATGCATTAAAAATTTATTGGAATATGATAAAAGAGCTCTTCCCATATAAAACTACCCTACCCCGAAATAGTAGACCCCATGATAAGATAATAACCTTAATATAATGAGATAATAAGATAATAATAATTACAATAATATGATCTTGATAATATTTAAAATATTTAAGATTTACATAAAATACAGTTCTTGCAATTATTCGAAGAGATTAAACTTTGTATATCTACTTTATGTAAAGCGTTTTTAAATTCTTGCAGCGTTCTTAGTGCTCTTATTTTTCCATCTAACTTAGACCAGATTACTGGACCTAAGTACCTAAGAGAGTGCTTACCATAGCGCGTAGTACTAACTCTAGGGATAATGAAATCATTGTTTCTTAAATTATATTTGTTGTTATTAATAACAAACAGGTTCTTGATATTATTAGGGCACAGATCATTTTTAACTTTAAACATTAACACAGCTATGTCATGTAATCGCCTATTACGTAAGGTTTTTAAATTAGCCCTCTTAAGGAGGTCGCTATATGATGATATGCTATCACAATAAACAGCTCTAAGGGCCCGTTCTTGTACCCTCTCTAATTTTCTAGAATCACTAGCTTTGCAACAATTCCATACAATACTACAGTAAGTTAAATAAGGCAGAATAGCAGCCTTAAAAAGTTGTAATTTAGCCTTGGCTGGGATTAACTTTATCTTTTCTCGACCTGCTTTGCGTTCACTTATCAAGTAATCGAGATTATCATTGATGCAATTATTCTTCCTTTTCATAGGTCAGGAACCCTGCACAAGAGCTGTAGATGACTTCCTGGGAAGGATGGTTTGCTCATGCGCGGTAACATGGATATTTGGGTCCACGCCTTTCCTATGGAAACTGGCAGAACATTGCTTTGAGAGAACCATTCTCGAAACAGACATACACTAAGTAATCGAGAGATTTAACAGTTATTGATCTAGGTTATCGCAAAATATTTCGATTTTCAGAATCTTACGAATTGAAAGTAATTTCTTCAGAATGTAGCAAGATAACATAGGAAATCAATCTATATCACTTTAAATTTGCGACTGACGTGTCAGACGAAACATAAATTATTCATGGTCTCTCTCTAGGCAAATCACTGACTCAAACTCGTTACTGCGACGATTTACTTCCCTATTGCTCCTTACCCTCATCATTTGAAACGCATTTTTCAGATCAGCGTGTACATAACTCAGTCTATCGTTTGTTTCTGCCATCGCAAGCCCCGTTTCGCTGACTGTCTCTGTTAACTCCTTCATTTCTTTTATCTTTCTCGTCCTTTCTCTCTCGAATTCTTCTGTGGCTTTCATTCTGGCCATCTTGCTCATAAGTTCTTCGTGCATTCTGTTCTTGGAATTTTCCATATTGCGTCTGTCACGCTCACATTCCATTTGAAACTTAGCCTGAAAGATTGAAACATATACAACAGTTAATAATGGCAATAGGATTGAGTATAGTCCAATTTGCTCTGCAATCATACGAGTGATCGACAAAATTAGACGACGGCGAAGCGGGAGTCCAATTTGTCAATCGCGAGTATGATTACAGACAGAATTAGACGACAAGAAGTCCTGTTAACAATTAGTCATAACCGTTTCAATTTCCGAAAACAAAAAATACATTTAGGTCAATTATCTCCAGTAGAGACAAAAAAGTAAAAGTACAAAAATGTCTCCATTTTGAAAATTCCTCTCTTTTTTTTAGGATAAGTTGTTGCTTTGGTTATTGTGTTTAATGCTGTGATTGGTGGATTTGGCAGAGCGGACTTAGTATGATTGACTACTTCAAATGTAGAACCACAGGTGTCCGATTACAGCCAACTGTCCGATTACAGCCAACTGTCCGATTACAGCCAACTGTCCGATTACAGCCAACTGTCCGATTACAGCCAACTGTCCGATTACAGCCAACTGTCCGATTACAGCCAACTGTCCGATTACAGCCAACTGTCCGATTACAGCCAACTGTCCGATTACAGCCAACTGTCCGATTACAGCCAACTGTCCGATTACAGCTCTACAGAATGATTAATGAAAAATAAAGCAGCTAATGCAGCAATCACGTTTGAGGAAACTGTAATGGTTTATGATTAATATTATACAAGGAAGTCCCAAGGGCGTGAATTCATATTTCAATCGCGTTTCGTTGGCTCATGCTGTAGAGTGCCTTGCGGGAGAGTTAGAGTGCCAGACCGGACGAACACTCGAGGCTGCCTTTGCTCAGTATGACATCCTCAAATGGTTAGACGATAAACCGTAGGCCCTTCCTCCTGCACCTTCTCTGAACTGGTTATCAGGAAGGTATCCGCGGGTTTCGCCCATAACGAGTTTCGCCCAAGAAGCGTTTCGCCCATAACGAGAATGGTTTCGCCCAGGCATAAATTCGATTCGCCCAGACTGACAGTCAGTGATTATCCAGGCTAAGTGCCTCTTTAGACATATGCTTTAGATGAGCCCGGTAACCGGGCTTTTGTTTTCTGTTCATACAATGTTCATTCATAAGCTGGCGTGCGGAACTTATCTTCCGTGTACAAAAGATTTGCAACGATGATATGTTCCACGCGCAAGTGTTTTCAAAAGCGTTTAATTTAATTCTCGAGAAGAAAAGTGATGCAAAAAAATCATAGCAATGCCTTTACGACAAACGGACGTCTCTGCAGTATTTCGTGCGCGAATTACCTTAACAATCCCCACTCCACAGTGAAAGCTATAATTGACTTGTTCGTTTCAACAGTAACTTGTTCGTTTCAAAATTTCATGATCTCAGGTCAAGTCACTTTTCTTCATTCTGTGCATACAAACGTTTATAAGGTTGACGTTTTCCGAGTGAGAGTGTAGAAGTTTTACTTATGGGCGAAACCTTTATTGTTCTGGGCGAAACCATTCTCGTTCTGGGCGAAACGATATGTGCGAAACTCGTTATGGGCGAAACCCGCTATAACCATCAGGAAACATTAAAGAACCTTCGCATTTCTCGCAAAGAGTAACGTACATAGTTCCCAGTGTTGAGGCCTGGTCTTGTTATTGTTTATACTTTTTTAAGATTCCCAGAAATATTTCTATATAATACAATTGAGAAAGAAGACGAAAAATCTCTGCTTGATGTTGCTGGCGTAATTGTCTAGTTTTTTTCAGAAATTGGCTCACGTATGCAAGATAAATGGTGTGAATAAAAACAGTTTTGACTCTGTTGTGGATAGAGAACAGCGAACAACCGGAAGCAAGAAAAACAAAAAGTCAGCTTACATCGTGAATGGCAAAGAGGTGTAGAAGTTCCGTATGAACATTTGATAACTGTCCACTCTGAATAGAAATGTCCAGCTCGGTTTCTTCCACATCAGCTGAAAAAGGTATTGACATTCGGCGAGCTCTTTCACCTTCCTCAGCTCTATTGACCATCTGAATTGTGTCCTGTAAGTCTTCACCCTCCAGGTTATTTGAATGGTCTAGCTGTGAAATTACTCCTTTTAGCCAATTTTTGTGTTCACTCTTCAAGGTTGCAACGTCCTGTGAAAGGAAGGATTTATATCAAGGAGAGTAAAAGGAAGGAATTTCTCGAAATATTTTAAATTCAATTATCAACTTCCTGGAACACTGTGGCAGAGCAACGGATCGATGTGGGGATCAGGCCAAGAGTGTCAGCTCTTCCAGTACAGGTAAAAATACCTTTTTCCTTCTTTTAAGGAGAGATTGAACGAGCATGCTTAACGACAGATTAAGAACAAAAAAACTCCATCTCTAAAAAACTCACTCAAGTTCGCAATTTAATGTTAAAGTTTAGTGGACAGCTCTTGCAGCAATGCCAAAAGTGGAAATATGCGGCGCTTAAATAAGTAACTGATGTTTTTGCGCCTCACATGAACTATTCACTTACCTTGTGCCGAGCACATTGTCTTCTTAACAAACTTTTCACTCCCAGTATCTCCTTCTCAATTTCTTCAGGGTCAAAATCTGAATCACCGTTGTCATCCTCACTATCGGTGGTGCTGTCATGTTCAATGGGAGGTTTACTTGTTTCGGCGCTTTCACTCATACTGATGGCGACTTCCACTGCTATATAGTCCTAAAGCTTGAATTTATGCCAATGTTAGTTAAGGGAAAAATGAGTATTGCGCAACAAGAAGTAATGATGTTAATTACCTATTCTTCACTAATTAGAAATATATGCGCGCGCATCTTTACATTTAATGAGCAGAAAAAAATCACCAAAAAATTCGATGCGTACAAGCAGATGCGCAAAGAAATAAGAGGAGCTACAGTGCTTCATCTGTTTAAGACGCTACTTTGCTAATACTGCGTCTAAATAAATGCTAGGATTGACCAACCTTGTACCAGGTCCCCAAGAGGCATGTTGTTTCGCGTAGCTTCGATCTTTTTCATTGTAGCGTGAGAAACAGATCCAAAAACCCACAAATTGGAAATAAAAGGTTTTCGTTAAAATTTTGTACCTTCCGGAATGTGTGCGGTCATTTTCACTTTCCCACACAAATCAATGATCTCCTTGGCCTGTCATGGAGAGAAGAAAGGTGCAAAAATACAACTACAAAAGAATTTGCGAAGCACTTTTACCTCTGTATCTCACACATCAACAACTACAAAGATCGAGGCCACGCGAAACAAAATGTCCCTTGAGGGACCTAGTACAGGGTTAGGCAATCCTTGCGTTCATTCTAACCCCAGTATTAGAAAAGATAGCCAGCTAAATTGTATGGTCGTAATTCGATTTGATCTGTGAAACTGGTTATACTGCAGGGTTGCAATCTGTTTACGTACCCGGAAGTTCCAATTTGGATGCCACATAATCAAGTGGCCCCAGAACTTAATCTCTGAATAAGGGCATTGATGTAAATTTTTCCGTTTCCAGGCTAGTACATTTTTGGCATTAAATGCCACGAAACCTTTCAAATAACTTCCGACAGGACTTTGTATTCGAAAAAATGTTGCTATAGATAAGTTTTGTAGAAAGATAGAATATTTAAATTTTGATCGAGTTCTCATTGATTTGTTTTTCTTATTCTCGTAATGGATGGCTTGCGATGTAAAGCTGATTGCAATTTGGCAACATTTATTCCCGAACACTGAACACAGCAAGCAGTAGCTCTTTTCTCTAAGAAAACAATGAAGTGTAAACCAGGGTTTAGGACAAAACACTGATCAAATTTTTCAAACAAAAGGAATTGCCAAAAATTAGTTTTCTAGAAGAGTTACAATATGACCAACAAAACCCTGAAGACATTTTTGGTCCTAATTTTGAAAGCAAATTTTATTCATTTAAGTTGTGTACTACAATTGCGTTAGTATCTTAATGTTAAGCCTGCACTCCGATTGGCTGACTTGCTCTTTCATCTCATATACAGCGAGTTGAGAATATCCGGGACTTCATCAATAAATATGGTATATAGAGGTTTTTCTAATTAATGGCTTTCGAAATTAGGTTAGTGAAAACTTTCCATCAACAAAAATTTCGAGATCGCCGCTCATTTTTCATAATCAGAAAAATTCTACAACTCTTGGTGTGTATCATCACTTTTTGTTTTCCATTCCGTCTCCTCGTTCTCATCATCGTTATCACTATCATCTTCATCATCCTCCATGTAAGCGTCATTTGGCTCCGGACTATCCATTCCCGGGGGGATTTCCGGCTCTCCCCCCCACTCAAGAAACCGCTGGATGGCACGGCGCAGGTTATTTTGTACTTCCTGCTTAGTAACCTGGTCTGAGACGTTTGTCTCGTTGCGCAGTTTATTAAAAATCTAAAATCAAAATTAAGAAATTAAAATTATTTTAAGACACATTGATTAAACTAGCGATGACCTCCAAAGCTGTCGATTGTCTAAGATCATCTAACTGCCGTTCGAAAAGGAGCTGGCAGTGGTATGCATATAGTGTCGTTTATTTTTCCCTTAAATGGATGTTTTGAGAAACAGACCGTGTGCTAAATTGACCAAACCAGAAAAGGGCTTTCAATCTGGAAATTCCATTCTGTTGAACGTAACTTAAAACGCTGCACTTGGAAGTTTTTAAATTACTTATAAGAGTAACAGCCTGATGAAAACAAAGGTTTGCTTTTGGTGGACGCTTACATTATAAATCTGGAAGCTTCTCTTATTTCTGAGAGAGAAACAGAAAATCAGCAAAGACTAAACGTCTAAACCGTAGTCTACTTACAAGCTCTGCAAAAACTTCGGTTCCCTGTGTAGCCTGGTTATGGGAAAAAAAAGTTGTCATCAAAGTGCATGAACTTAAAAAAGTAAATGGAAGGAACTGAAACATGGTGCTGTTTCTTCATTGAATGTATGGCTAACATTTACGAAAACCAAAGAAAAAATTTCTCAAAACAAAAAAGGCTAACCAACCCAAAATCTTACAAAAATAAAACAGTCTCCAAGAGCTCAAAAAGAAAGGTGTATTTACTGGCGTGATAACTGTGCGGAGAAAGAAAAGAAATACACCAAAAAAGCAGGAAAAATAGCAGATGGAACGACACGCAAGCACTTGTCAAACGGCATGCAACACATACATAACAAGCCTCTAAACACTCACCTCCACATAAGCTCGGATAAACTTGTCCCTTGACACGAGACCATCAAGAGCCAAAAGTTCCCTAATCACATCCCTGGGGTTTAATCACAGATACATAGGCAATACTCATTAGTTATGACTTGGAGGGGGTTGGAAGATTTTGGAGTTTTCAGAGGGTGCAGGGGTTTGGGCGTCAGTCGGGCTACCTTGGGATGTGGAAAGTTCTGCATGACTTTGATAAAAATCCCTCAAAATCATCCTCACTTAAACAAGAGATATGAGTATTTACCTGACATTTGCTACATCAATGACTCCATACTCTGCCTCCTCTGTGTTACTCACGTCCGTTCCTTCAAATGCAAGAACAGTTTGCCTCATTTGTTCACGGGTTAGCTTCAAAACCTCTTGTTTGGTTATAAATCCTTTTTTGTTACCACCAAGCCAATCAAACATCTGCCAGCCAAATAAAGCATTTTCATCAATTAAAAAAAATCCTTTTTGTGACTGAAAATGACATATCAGGCCATGAAGAAATCAAGACTGGCTGAAACTGGAATACAATTTAAATTAAAATGAAAGCATTACATTGCAAATTATTGGCTGCTAAGATGCCATCACACCATACATAAAGACTATGTATATTGTCTATAATGGGGTCACATTTCCATTACAGTTTCTACAATGGGTAAGACAATTCTGGTAAGTAGGGATTTGAATATAGGAAGATTTGCAGTTAAAAATTGTAACCATAAGACCAAAAGCAACTAAGGTGGGGTCTATAATTGGCCAAAGAATAGACTATAATGGGTTAGCTGCACATACCCAGTAAAAATTGACCAAAGCACCATTCCCCTCTCCCTCCCCCAGATGGGCTTTGGACAGCTACAAATGCCCCATAGAGACACAAATTGGAATATAGTGGGAAAAGGTTGCGAGAGACAACTTGAAAATCAAAAGGATTTCTGTTGTCCCATGTATATTTAACTTTTGATCATGGCAATACCTGAAGCCCTTAGCACCTAAAATGAATTCTTCCCCTAATACCTCAAGGAGGTTTATATGGCAAGACTCATTTAATGAAACTTTCTAAGGACCAGGAATATTTTTTCCAGATACCAGAGGTTTGAATTTCAATGAAAAAATGTTATACTGACCATTAAAGCCTGTTGCCTGACTCCTTCAACATAGCTATATAGCTTGTGTACCTTCAGGGAAAAGGGAAAAGTAAACTCTCTTCACAATCATATGCCTTGCCAATTTTTAGACATAATAAGTGAGTCTCACCTGACACACATAATAATCCAAAATGCTCCTGTTGATCATACAACTTGAAATGCTTATTATTTTTGAAGGCTACTTTTTCTGCCATTTCAGATTTATAATAACAGCTCACCAGTGGGGGTCACTTTGCAAAAATATGATTTATGAGATTTTACATCTTTTCTGTCTCAAACATCACTCACAGGGACCTCAAAAGGGCTACTTGTCACATTGAAGGAAATTTTTAACTTCACAGCAAACCAATCTAAAATAACATAGCATCCCTAAAAATCACAACCAAAGCCCATAAACATCAGCAAAGGGTATTTAAGATTCCAATATGAAATTCTTGTGTAATATCATTTGTTTAAATTCAGAGCAATTAATAAAAATGCGAGTGGTACACTCTCCTTACCTCAACTTCCTCTGTAACGTTTTGGATTTTTCTTAAAATTCCATCTTTATCAAGCTTTTCATCCTTTCCAAAAAAGTCCAGCATACCTTCCCTAGAGTAAATAACAATGTGAAGTTTAAAATCATCATCCCAAGAGCTCTTATCTCATTAATGTGTGACATCAAACAGAAGTCAACACTTAGTTACTATGTTGCCCTTGATATGCCACACTCTCACTCTTAAACTATGGACCTGAGTCACTGAAAGGCTTCTCATAGCATTATTGAATGAATGAGGAGCTGTATTTACTTAATATTAAAAAAAATGGCATGCCACTAAATTAACCAAGAGAAAAGTTTGTTTTCTTTAGCAGCAAGTGGTTCACACACATACCGCTAAAAATTTGCACAAAGCTTCTCCTTATGGTGGCTTGTTAGAGCAATGGGAAGCATGTATCTGAGAGCCTAAGTTCACATACTAAAGATAACTTCTGCCCCCTCCCTCTCCCTACCTAAGGACATTAAGGCAGCATTTATACCAAGCTTGACACAGTTGTTAACAGGTATATTATTAGTGTCAACTATAATTTTGTCATATCTGATGCAGAAATAATGAAAAGTGACCCACTATTTATGGTGTAAAAAGAATCTACAACCAGTTGTTAAGAAAACATTAACTAGTTGAAATTAGAAAATAACTGAAATGAAAATTAAGTGCCACACATGCATGAAGCCTGTGGTTGGAGTGAAATTTGACAATATGTGTCATTTGGTGCTGTTTCCTTTTTCCCCAAGTTAACTGTTGATTTGAAAACACATAACCAAAAGCTACTTTGTTGATCCAATTTTGTCACAGTTTTGATTAATTGGTAACAGGACCTTGTGTCTTCCAACTAGGTAGACATAATTATACTCTCTTGTATGATTACAGGCAGAACTGGACTCTTCTTAAGCCTATTACCACTAAAGAAGCTGTCACAGCAAAACCTTCATTTCTTATCAAATTCCTCTTGAAAACTTTTCCTCCTGATTAGGTCCAGTAAGCTCCAAATAAGAGCATAAGTAATGTTAAACTTTGGCTTTAGTTTCCAAATTCCCAAATTAACCCTTATTACCAAACAGAAAATAAAAATAAAAATAAAGTTCAATTGAATACCTAACTGACTCCAAGTCTGTGTTACCCATACTCAGATTGCCATGTCCAGGGTATTCCCAGTCTAACTCCATCTCACTCAGAGGTTTGAAACTTAATTTCTCATCACAGCCAGTGAAATCAATGTCATCAACACCATCCAGCCGGGAGAACAACAAGGCTACAGCCACATTATTGGTACCATATGAATTCACCTGGTGATAGTAACCTTTGAATAGAATATTATATTGGCATTTAAGAAAACAACATTCAATAGAAATGTATCTCAAAACTTTCAGTTCAAACAAATCTATTTGGTCAACATACTATAATGGTGATGAATTCATTTGAAACCTGGAACATGTCTGAGTAAGCTATTTTCAATTAGTTTTCTTTAATGATCTCAGAAAGTAAAATTGTTTTAAGTTACATAAGTCAAATGTTAGACAAACTACAGGAACACCAGTCTGAAGATCAAATTCTTAACTATCATTTTAACAGGTGCGATGTGTTTCCAAAGCTGAATAACATATAAAGTAATGAGGTGAGTTGCTTTTACCTATAAATCAAGAAATTTTCAATTAATATTAAAAATATGTTTTTAAGGTTTTGTGGCTAGCTACAATCTTGAATCCATTGTGAAAAAAACACACCATTTCATGATATCACAACATTTAATGAGGGTAACATTTCAGCAAATAAAAAACAGTAACTTAACTTTAAGAGCCACCTTACTTTTCGGTAAGAAGAGGCAGTCACCAGCATTTATGGTAACAATGGACCAGGGGACTTCAGAAACCTTAGGATACTTCAACAGATCAACTTGCTGAATATTTACGCGTGAAAATCCACCAACATTTTGTGGAGGCTCCCATGCTTTGTATATCTTATCTTCATATTTGTACTCTATCAGTTTCCATTCCTTGGTACCATTGTATAAACAGTTGATAGCATTGTACGCATCTTTGTGGAGTATACTTTTGGTGCCTCCTCCACTCATCCATAAATCTACTTCCACAAGTCTGTCCTTCAAAAGGCCACAAGTCAGGGGGGGAATGACTGTCACATCACGCCACATGGGAGTAGGGAGTTCCGAGACAATGTAGAGATTATTGTTTTCTTTATGGTAGTTATTGATGAAGTTTCCTTTAAAAACAAGAAGGAAAATAATCACACTGAACTGAAATCAGAACAAGAAATAGAAGTTGGTCTGAAAGCTATTTTTCATTTAAGAAGAATTTTCAAATTTTTGGAACTTTGAAACAAGTTTGCAGTTTGCAGGGGGAACAACTAACCCTTAAACTCCCAGAAGTGTTTAAACATGTCACTTTCCGTGTCATATCCATACATTAGCAAGCAAACAGGTGATGACAATACTCTAACTTATCAGGTAAAAGTTGTATTTTGATTTCACAACAAATTCAAATCACTAATGTACAAGGAAATGTGAAGCAGGTATAGAGGGATAGAATTAACAATCAGATGGGCCTGGAACAGTTGACATACTCACCAAGATTACCTTTAGAGCACTTACCCTAAAGGTTAAGAGCCTCGAAGGATCCTTCTTTTCAATTAAAGTATTCGTATTTGAGAATCAATTATTACTTGATTCTTGTGCCAGAAAAAAAGTCTTATACCACACAATTGGTTTGATTGTTTTATTCGCTCTCGTGATTAAAATAGCAGTAACAAAATCCTGTAAGCAATACTGGTGCTTCTGTTTTGTGGTATATATCAACATTCTACTGAGAATAAGTGCGAGGATTGAAATTTTACTCCAACTCCGAGTCCATTAAATATTCCTTAAAATTTTGAAATTAATGAACAAAAGATGTAAACTTCTTAACTCACCAATTGTATCCCTACCGACTCCCTTTGCTCCGATCGGAACTTTAGAACTCTTTTCTTTCTTTCCTTCTAGCCGAACCTCTAAATCTGCAAAATTTTCCTTCAGATACTTATCAGTCCATTCAGTAAATGCTCTCCCAAGTTTGGCGGCTCCGCGCAACACAACAGCCTTCGAGGGTCGAACATATTTAGTCCAGAATTCTTGAGGAGACGGCACTTCTTGTAAATCGTCCACTAAGTTTATTTCTGGCGGCCTGTGAGATCCTAACGGCTTCAAATGACCAACAGGAACGTTGAAATCACCGCCAGTTGTGAGAGATACGACTTCAACTAAAGCTACAACGAAATTGAAATACAAGCGACGATTCATAACTGCAAAACCTCTCCACTTATGACAGCTGTGTGGATGAATTATGCTATCGCTCGGGAAACTCGGCCAGATTTGAAAAAAAAAACAAGAAAAATACTCTTGTCAAATCCCGCGATCTCCGTCCACATTCAGTGTTTCTGTTTATCGGTGAGCAAAATATTCCTAATGGGTGTAGGGTGCGTGATTTGAAAACAGCTGAAGTTCTTTGAGGATGAGGGTACAATAATTAATCCACCCTTTTCAAGTGTGCTTTTGTTATCAAAAGTGCATATTGTCTTTTGATAGAACCACAGGCGAACCTTAAGCGTACTATGTGTGATTTCTGGGTTTTAAGGTCATAAACAGGAATATCTAATGTGCCGATTGTGGGGTAAATTTAGATTGAATTTTAAGGGTTCACGCGTGGCGTAAAATAAATAGAACAGAAACAAAAATAACAATGATAAACAACGCGAGAAATTAAACGTGTTTTAAAACCTCCTTACTTTACTCCATGCCTGCGTGGTCTCTTCTGGCCGTTTCCAACGCTATTTTATCGTATTTCTTTAAACCCCATCCTGTGCGTCATAGTACACAAAAAATTGCCAAATTTCAAACTTCTTCTCCGCAGGTGAAACGTGGTAAGATGACAAGATAAAGAATTTGAATCTGAGCATTTCAATCGACTTAAAGTGGGAGTTCATTAAGAGTAAAAATTACTCCCGGGGGGAGGGGAGGTTACTTTGGTCAATTTGATGCTGGGTAGGCGCTGCTGGCCTCTCATGACAGTCCATATGTCTATCCCCAAGTCTAACGACTTTTTAACCGCGAATCTTTCCATTTTTAAATTCCCTCTTACCAGAATTTCTTACTCCCAAAATCCCGAAATTGTGTAGCCCCATCCTAGTGACTCTAAAAAAGGCATCCAGCAGTAAAAATGCGACCCCACACAGCGGTACCAGACCTTTTCTACGGAAGTACCCCTCCCTCCCCCGGGGAATTACTAATACTCTTCATGCGGGTTTTTACTAACTCAGGACGATATTCAAAAAAGAGGAAAAGAAACAGAGTGTTGCTGGTTATTTTGAGGAACACTGCCAATAGTTCTCTGAAGTTTTAGCTCTGAGTAAAAATCTGCAGACAAAAGCGAGCTTTTTAGGTGCCAAATTACAGTGGAATTGTTCAATCTTTTAAAGAGATCTTAATGAAGAATGGCGTGCTCTGCATAGAAACTTGTAACCAGAGCGATTCTCTCAGCTCGGTGTCACATCTGCTCACAAATTTTTTACATCAAAATTGTTTCATTTCCTATTAAAGAAATCAACAGAAATCACTTTCCCCTCCTGTAGCAATCCATAACTTCTTTGCTGAAATTGGTATGTTCCCAATAAATTTTTGACGAGACTTCAAAAACTGGATTTTTCTTTTCTGTCCCCTATCTCTTTTTGTTCTTTTTTAGTTCTTTTTTGTCGGTTAATCAGTATCATTTTTTATAAAGTTGAGCTGTCTCGTAAGTGCTCTCTCAACTAGGACGATCAAGACAACTAAGCTTTAAATAGTACAAACGAGACAACAAATCACATTTAATATATCTTTAATAGGAACAGAAAATCGCACCACCATGTCACCATATTTACTGACCAAAGGCTAAAACATTTGGAAAAACGTGGTACATGTTGAACGTTTCATTCAAGCAGGCGAGCAGACTAAAATATGTATGCGGGCAATTCAAAAAGGCTTTTTCTGTTAGAGTTAAAAATACGACTCCAAGGTTCCCCGACGCCTGACGTCACATGTCCAGCAGTGGAAACCTCCGCCAAGAGAGTTGGCAAAGCGGATAGAGACAGGAACACATTTGATTCCAAGATTCTCGAACATCTGTTGAAAACGAGTATAGCGTTTAAGCAAAACACGTTACTTCCTAACACCAATATGCTCTAAAACAAAGAGAGCACGCATAGTTAACTGGACACGTACAAGCGTTAAAAATAACTGGATACGTGCAAGCGTTATCATATTTAGCTTCCAGCGCTAGCAGATGCTTTGCAGCGTGTAATACTCTGTAGTTGGGATTCAGAGCTATCTTAAACTTCTCATATGCATCAGAAGTTCATGTAGTGACCATCGTCGAACAATAAAAATTCAGTGGAATTAAAAAAAATGTGTGGTTCGTTTTAATGAGGCTTACTAGTGATCGTGTTATCAAAAACATGTGAACCTTACAGACCTAGGAATTAGGAATTCTAACAATATGCATTCAGCCGTTTGTACCTCGGAGTGACGACATTCAAGTTTGCATTAGCTGTGAACAAGACATCTTGTTTTACTCTTCTACAGGGTTGATTAAAAAAATCTTAAGGTAAGTAAATAAAATTAGATTTTATTTCGAATTTTGCTGTTTGCCGTAGCCGTAATTATCATGCTTAAACTCAGTAACAGCGCGATATCTTGGGGTATAGCGACTAAAATTAACTTTCGAAGTAAAAACCTCATCTGCAATTTGTTCCACTTCTTATCCATCAAATCAAGTATTATTTCACCTTTTGTGTAGTTGTCTCGTTTTTATCCACCACGACTCTTGTCGGATCCAACATGAGGACATTCATGGACAACCACTTGGACGACATCCACAGGGGGTGTGTGTCTGGTATGAGAGGCAATGGTGGCTTGACCACAGTCCACCCAGCTTTATGGAACAGCTCGATCTGATGACAAGGCCGGTCAGGATTGGATAGAACCAATCCGGGTCCAATGATGTTGAAGGTAGCGTCAATATGCATCGGATTGGGATCATCAAAGGATAATTTATGCACACGATATCCACGCTCTCCAAGATGTCGCCTCATCCATTCAATGCCCAGGTTGTTTGTGACCTGTTGCAAAATACGAGGCGGCAGACTATTTATCGAGTAGAATACGAAATCTCGCTTGTCAAATGGAGAAAGCTGTTTCTCGTCTTGTTACGATTGTGAGTAAATATGATGAGGAAAATGGAAAATTAGGGAATAGGGGCACTCAGATATCTTTCTTTTTACGACTAAGACAAAACAATACCATATTTTATAAGATTATTTACAAGGTAAATAATTGAAATACTTTGTTTGACATGGAATCAAAGAAATAAATGCATTGTCCGAGACCTTTTATCTGAATACTTCTTAACTTGTGAATTACTTTCCGCCTTTATAGGAATCCATATCCGGCTTATGATCCGTGTACCGTGTAAATATATCTTACGCAAAAAGAGCATAAGGCCGAGTATAGGACTTCATTATTGACAGTAAGCAGTGAGAGTTTTTTGGGAGTAATATATTTGTTTTACCTGACTCCTTTGAACAAATATATCACGGCCTGCTCGGATGAAATCAGCGGCATCAAAACAGGGTTCAAACTCTGTGGTAACAAACTTTCCCGAAGCAGCCAGCTTGTGGCGGTCCTCCACTGACCGTATGGCATAGTTCTAAAAGTTATGACGGCAAAAACCAAATTTCACTCAGTGATTTTACTTTAAACAAGCTACTTATATGGCGATAAAATAATGCAAAAAATTCTGACAATCTCCTAAGCAGCCGCAAAACAAGATCTTTTTTAAGCGAAAAAATTCATAATCAATCAAGCCCGTACCTCATCATATAGGTCGTCGCTCATGAGGGGTTTAGGTGCAGTCGTCCATTTAGCACCACCGCTAAAGTATTCCTTAAGCAGGGACCTGTAGGCACGGTACTCAAAGAATCGAGACCGCCATGCCATAGGCGCCTCTATGATTTCGTCGCCAACCACAAGCAGAATGTCACGTGGCATGGCTGCGTATAACCCGGATGATTGGAAGTCAGGAGTTTTATAGACCTGGTGAAGACATTTAAATTTAGTTTAAGCCAAGCCTGAAAACATAACTCAATTATAGTTCCTCCTTTCATTTTCCTGCCGTTCACTTTATTAGAACTCCCTTCGGATATTTTTATACCCGAACAATTCAAGGGGGGTTAGGTTGTTGTGAAAGATGAAGAGTCAGAGGTGTTTGAAAGTAGTTGGGGGATGGGCTTTCTTTTTTTAATTTGAATAATAAGGAGTCTGACATCTTTTTGAAGTGCATCGGACAGTGAGTGTGAAAGTAACAGTCAGACAATGAGTACATTTTCTACAGTGGAAGCAGCGATGGGTGAGAAGGTGAGAATGTCATCAATGAACTAGAAATTGTGCAAACAACTAGAAGAGGGTGAAAAGTAGAACACTGGTCCATGGAATACACTGATCTTAATTTTGTAACAGATTACGCTGGCGCATATTATAACACAACTTGAAACAAAATCAGTCGGGCTGTAAATGATGCTACCCACTAAGCAACCTATTTAGTCTATTTATATTATTCAATTATTTTACAGAGGAGGGGTTGGGTTGGAGCTTAAACCTAGTTAGGGACTTATTTCCTATTGTCCTAATTTAGCCAAGTTTCTTCTTTCAACTCCTTAAGTAAGGAGAGATAAGATTTTTTTTTTCTTACCTTTGAGAAGTCAATTGGTTCAGGTCGGCGAACTTTCACTCCTTCGTGTCGTAGAATGTTACAGAATTCTTCGATTTCCAGATGCGCTTTTTTAAGATGTAATACAGGAAACGATTGGCCGCCAAAAGTATTGAAAAACGGCCAGTTTTTCTCATGAGTATTTGCTTTTACTTCTATCGAAAACTCGGGCACGGTTGCCCCTGGAGAAAGAGAGTAAAGCAAAGACATTACTCGATGTGTCACTTAGCACTTGGATCATTCACTGGCTCACACATATTCATAGATTAAGAGTTATTTTGGTACTGACACAGAGTGAACTTCTTTCAGAGAGCTAGGAAGGGGTGCCACTAGTCAGCACTCCAGTTTAACAAATTCACCTTCAACGCGTCCCACGATGACTTCTTCAAGAGGATCCCATTCGTTGTATGAACACACTGGGCCTTTCACTTTCTCAGAAAGTAATTTCCCACCGTTCAAGCCATCAGCAAAGTCACCGGATGGGTAATTAGCTGACTGTACTCTGGCATGTGTCTCTGTTTTGCTTTTTACCAGTGTGGAACATGTCCGCAACCACTAAAACATAATTTAAGATGGTTTGTGATTATAAAAGCAGCATTGACAATAGAGTCGTTCTTTTTGACCCTCAATAAAAATTTACACAATTCAGGTCCTATTTACAACTACTCGTTTCAGTAGTGTTCTTAGCTGCGAGGATCTCCTAATTTCATCTTTCTACCGCAGTGCAAATATGTGAATTTTCATATATCTAAAATCTTCATTCAATGTGACCTCAGTTGTAATATGACCAAATTTTGCAATATGGTACTGTTTTTACCTTGTTTAGATTTCCATTACTAATAATATACATGAAAAAATTACTCAATTTTGATTGGTTAAGATAAATGCAGTTTCCAGGTAATTCAGTGCAAGAGAGGGTTAATTCAGTGCAAAGCAGTACAAACCAGACATTTTGATTGGTCAATAATCAAAGAAACTCACAGATAGCCAATTGAGTACGAGCCTTAGATGTCGCAACATATTAACTGTGTTAATAAATTAACAATTAACTGTGTTAGTCTGTTAGAGGAAAATCAATCCTCTCAATAACTCAACAAAACCCAGTAAAAGGAGAAGATTCTTCTCAATAGAATATTCAGAGCTCAGAGGAGAACAAAGACTTTCTCAGCATGAATGCTTTTGAAAGTGATTCTTTACACAAGCAAAGTCAATCTTTGGAGGAAAACAATCAATTTAAAACCGAATATTCATTCTTGGGTGAAGGACAAAAATTCTCATGGGAGACTCAGAAACTGACATTCATTATCCCCCCTCCACACCCCACTCGCACAACACCACCAACAAATGAGACAGGGAATCTGTTTGAGCATCTTTAATGAGGAAACAAGGAGCCCCTGAGGGCTCAAGGAAAGCCCCTGGGGTGGGAAGGAGGGCAAGCAATAAACGAACAAAGGAGTGAAACACAATATTAAGTGTCAACTAAATGTCTGTCAACATCAAGCCAGGCACAGCATGTAGGCCTGGGGCTAATTAATTTATTCCCCTTGGAATATCAAACAAATATTGGTTCTTCAGGGAAGAGCAGTAATTCTTCTGATAAGCTTGGATATCATCTTGGGAGGAGAGAAGTGGTTCTTCTTAGAAGAATACCTAATTAACTGGTTCTTGACAAAATAACTTTGTTCCTTTGGGAAGAAATTAGTATTCTTCTAACAAGAATCAAACATAAATGAGATTCTTCTCATGGGAACTCTTAACCTTGGGAGAAGACCCACAGTTCTTTCCTCAAGAGCCAGATTTCTTCTCCTCAGAATTATATATCTCCTCTGGGGACAAAGAGTCTGAGGCACTGTTTACACGGACACACTCTAAATCGCTCTTAACTTCAGTTCTTTTGAACAGAATTTAAATTCTTTCTGAAAGATTCGTGCCTCTTCAGGGAAGAATTTATTGTTTCAAATTCTTTGTCCCCAGAGGAGAATCTGAAGAGAAGAAAGCTGGTTCTTGAGGAAAGAACTATGGGTCTTCTCTCAAGGTTAAGAATTCTTATAAGAAGAATCTTGTTTATGTCTGATTCTTGTCAGAAGAATACTAGTTTTTTCCCACAAGAACAAAATTATTTTGTTAAGAACTATTTAATGGTGTATTCTTCTGAAAAGAAACCCTGCTCTCCTCCCAAGATGATATCCATTTAAGGAAAGAATTGTGGGTCCCCTCCCAAGGTTAATAATTCTCATGAGAAGAATCTCATATATGTCTGATTCTTGTTGGAAGAATACTAGTTTTTCCCCACAAGAACAAAATTCTTTTGCCCAGAACCAATTAATGAGTTATTTTTCTGAGAAGAAACACTACTGTCCTCTCAAGATGATATCCATTGAAGCAGAATCTCATTTTTTAAGCAAGCTTATCAGAAGAATTACTGCTCTTCCCTGAAGACACAATATTTGTTTGGGAAGAGTGTCAGTTTCTGAGTCTCCTCATGAGAGTTTTTTCCCTTCATTCAAGAATGAAATTTTTTTTTAATTGATTGTTCTTCATAAGAGATTGAATTTGCTTGGGTGAAGAATCACATTTAAAAGCATTCTTGCTGATAAAGTCTTTGTGCTCTTCTGAGGTCTGAATATTCTATCGAGAAGAATCTTTTGCCTTTACTGGGTTTGTTGAGTTATTGAAAGGATTGATTTACCTCTAACACAATAAATTTCACTGAAAAGAATCTCATTTCCTTTGGATTTATTTCTTAACATACAATCAACATAACATAAAACTAAATCATATTTATAATGTATATGTATGCATCAAGTTATCTATGAACAACTATATCAGCACTCACCGTATTGAAAACATTTACTGATTATCACCTCATTTTTTGTATCTTATAATGACATAATATCACTTTTAAATCATACCCCATTTTTTAAAATCTATTCTTCGACATACAATTCACAAAAATATAATTAACTTACATATTCACAACATCATGTATGCATTGAATTATCAGTGAACAACTATATCAACATTCCCTGTTATTGACCTCTTTCAATTTTTATCTACATATCTCATTCTTTGTATATTAGTTAAATATATCATTCCCTGATCATACTCCATACCATTCATTACTTTCACAATCTGCATCAAAGCAGTTGTTGTACATCAATGAATTAATAGCATGCCAATTGCAACCCCTCGTCCTTTCCTATGACCTCTTCTCTAGCTGTACAATCCTGTACTTCTCTGTTCACAAACATGATTGAAAGTGGAAGGGGAATACTCAATTTTGAATCATGCAAAAATAGTTAAATTTTGTTGCAAATTGAAGCCTTCAAGTACATAATTCAGCCCCATTCAATTGTAATTTATCCTAACCTCGAGCTCTACAACTGAAATGAAATTTGTCAGTCCTGCAATCAGTAGATCATATATGAACAAGGTTCAATCAGTTCCTGAAGAGCGCTTCCTTCCAACAGCTTTTTTATCAGCATGTTTCCAAGGAAGGTTGGGTCCAATCAAGCAGGATTTAGTTTCTTGGACCTCATCTTGTTGATACGAGATTCCGTCGATCGGTCGACACTGAATTATTTTAACAAGAGCCCACCTGACACTCCGAATATTCCCATTGAATCACTCTATATGAACCCAGATTTGAATGCCCTCCTAATGTACAAGTTAACCTTGGAGCAGAAAGCAGTATTGGCCACTGAAATCTCCTTCCTCATGTGAGACCGAAACAAGGCAACGACAACTTATTATTCGGCACGCATTCTTGAAAGCCGTGAAAAACGTTAAATGAGCCCGCATAACCGAAATCGGATACAGTGCGATTACCAAGCGCTTGGAATCGACCGCGTTTTCTCGCTTGCCAGTACGACAGATTCCAATGACAAAAATTTAAGGAATATTTTGGAACTGCTCAAACCTCCAGATAGGTCTTTCACTTCCAAAGTTATTAATTTTGGTGTTGTGAATGTTCACACGAAAATTTAATGTAAATTATCGCGGCTACGACACCATATTTTGTTTTCCTAGCGTATCGTTCATGTACCTACTCCACCGCTGTATTGTAGCAAAGCTTTATCAGACTTCATCAGATAATTTGGTCTGTAGTTATCAAAGTTACTTGCAATAGAAGTTACCTTAATAAAATTTTGGTTATAATAGATTCTGCCTCTTATCTCATGAATTCTGAAATTGCGATTCTTTTCATAAGATCTGCAATTAAACATTCTCTCCAGAAGAACCTTCTACCTCTTTGCCTGCTAGAAAGAATCCTCGTTCTTGAGAAAAAGAATTCCGGATTCCTGTGGCAAGAGTTTCTGAAATTGCAATTCTGTTCGTAAGATTTGCGATTAAATATTATTTCCAGAAGAACTCTCTGCATCACTGCCTGCTGAAAAGAATTCTCGTTACGAACGAGAATTCTCTTGAGTTGAGAAAAAAATTCCCGACTCTTGTAGCAAGAGTTTCTGAAATTGCAATTTAACATTCTTTCCAGAAGAACTCTCTTCTTCATTACCCGCTGAAAAGAATTCTCGCTCCTGAGAAAAGAATTCCCGGTTCTTGGGGCAAGAGTTTCTGAAATAGAGATTCTTCTCAAGATATTCAGATGTAATGTATTCTTACCACAAGAATTCTCTTCTATAGTCAATCTTGTTTCAAGAACCTTCATTTTCCTCGAAAAAAACACCATTAAAATAATTATTCTGATAAGAATTTTGGTTCTTAAGAGGAAAATATGCTATTTGGGGAATTTCGAGCGACGCGGTTTCATTTGTAACCGCATCGGTTTCGATACGGTTTCACCCTTCGTTTACACGGCATCGGTCGAGTTCGTTATCAGAACCGGGTCATTCCGAAAACGAATCAAAAGTGGAGTGTTTTCAAAACGATACGGTTTCATTGGTCGTGTAAACGGCGAAACTGCATCGATTTAAAAACGGTTACTTATTTTGGCGCGAAATTGGCTGGCTTCTTCGTCAATACGCTCTAGAGTAAGGAAGAGAAAAGCAAAACGACGATTCTGGACTCGGCCTGGGAGAACTAGTGTCTGGTGGAACAACTTTCTGGACGGTGTCATGCTTGCATAAGAATGGAAGGAAAACTTCAGAATGGGCAAAGACAAGTTATGTGGTGAGTTAAGACCGTTCATCGAAAGGAAAGTAACAAACATGCGACTTCCGGTCTCAGTAGAAACACAGGTGGCCTCGACTATATATTATTTGTCAGATGAAGGACGACTCAGGAAAACAGCAAACGATTAAAATCGGGTGTTGCACTGTATTAAATTCAAATAACAAATTGTCTATTATTTTGCCATGGGTGGCAGGTCCATAAATTTTGATAAGCTTTCTTTTGGACTCTTTACTCGTTCCCCAGATCCAACAGACGAAATGCAAGGGCCTGAGAACGAGATCTTCATGGCGTAAACAGTTGGATAGGTTCCGTGTAGACACTTCGAAACCGTGTCGTTTTCGATGCGGTTTCAAGGTCATGAAACCGTTTGGATTGGAAGCCGCGTCCGTGTAAACGATGACTGAAATAATAAATTATTCTCTGAAGAGACATGAATCGTCCAGAAAGAATTTAATTCCTGTTCAGAAGAATTGAACTTAAGAGCGTAACAGTGAACTAGAGGCTAAATTTTAATTTTCCATTTTTACGTAAGGTCTCGACTAGAGTCAAATATTCTGAACAGCAAAATACTTACCACTCCAAACCTAACCGCTTCACGTCCACGGCAGCCACCTTTGACTATCCTTATATTTAGCATGCTGTCTTCTGTTAAATCTGAAATCGTAGAACAAACTTGTTGATATTCATTACTCTAACAATTAAATATCTTAACTTTATTTTCATTAGTTCAACATTTACCTTGTCATTCAGTTTTGACACCCAAAGGAATTAAACATAAGAAAGTTTCACACTCTTTTATCAATTATTTCTGGCAACGTGTCACTCTATTTGAACTTATCTACGTCAGCTCAGCAGGGAGGGGGCGTTTTGTCTGCGCATGTCCTGTAAATTTGTTTGATGCGACACAGCGGCCAAATTATCGCGCATGCTTGAGATGCTTGCGAAAATTTACGCGCGAAAAGGAATGGGAATGATAATATTTCCATAGTAACGCTAAACGGTGATAAGAAGGCATTTTTAAAATTCGAATAAAGGGGTAAGTTTCTAAAGAAACTGTGGTGCTGCGTCGGTGGGAGAGTATAGCAGGTAATTAGTGTTAACAACTGGGTTGAAAACGTAAATTAGCCATCGTAAAGGGTAAAAAAGCTGACGTTTCGAGCGTTAGCCCTTCGTCAGAGCGATTGGTATTGGTAAATTCGTATTGTTTGTTTTATTTCGCGGGGATAAGCCCTAGACTCAACAGATAAGGTTCCCACTTTCAAGAAAGTTTCTTTAAAACCTGCTCTGCTACATATCTTTCCCAACAGGAAAAATATTCAGGCTAGAGGTGTAAATTTTGGTATTGAAGTGGAGCGGTCGTAACAGGGCAAAGAACTTCGTAGCCCGTGTTAGTTACAGCACTTGTTTTGATCGCCTCCTCAGTAGGCAAACCGCCCGTCGAAAAGGTTTGTTGTCTGGGAGAAAAACACGCTATAGCTCTACTTGTCGAGGAAGGATAATTGCCTTAAATACTGAAATGGCTCGAGTGGCGGAGGTCAAACGAGGAAAATTTGTATGTGAATTCCACTATCAGCAATTACGAAAAAGGAACAACATCTGCTGGTGCCTGCTGCCTTCCCATTCTTCCACACCAAGTAAGACATCCATCACCACTAGGCTGAACAAAGTTTTTGACGAGGGTGGAAGAAGTATAGAAAGTTACCGACCAGGGACACGGTGGTGCACAATTTGTCGGATAAGTGCCGATAAAACCTTTGCTACGCAGATCACCAATGGCCAGTAAGGAGAACAACGATAAATAGTGATATTCAACGGCTGTCTTCTCTTGATGCATACTCTAATTTTATATACTTCATACAATTTACATAACAAAAAATAAAGAAATGACTTATTCTCACCTTGTTCGCACATGAAGATCAATAACTTGAAACAAAAATCTTTATGCGAAATGAAGATGAGTACCTTGCAAAATTCAGTTGGAGTGCCAAGCAGAGTTGACAGATGCTCAATGTCTTTAACAAGCTTCAGAACTTAAATGTATGCGCCAAAACTTATTAACGTCATGAGCGTGCACATTAGGAATATGAAGCACGCTCTCGCAATTGAATTTGATTAGACAAATTTACTAGCTATGTTATAAATTCAATTCAAATTATATAAAACAAATAGATTCCAAGTTGCCGTGCGTCTGTTCAGTAATAAATCACAGAGGACGTCAAAATGTGGTAAGAACATCAATGAAATTCTCGGCTGCGTCTCGTGTGCCACTTCTTTGTTCTTACCACATTTTGTGCATATTCTTTACAAGTAAACACATCTAGTGTTCAGTGTTAAAAATATTTCTACATAACTCACAGGGTCTGGTCTAAAACATACTACTGCATTTTCTAGATAGTTTTTCAGACCTGATGGAAAAATTTCAGTTAGCTTTGTGCAGGCACTAGAGTGGGGGTCAATCTCTATACAGATCCAAAGAGATGCAGGCATTTTTTGAAACCCATGCACCACATCTCTTTGACATCCTCATCAAAGCACTAACCAGTGCAGATGGATGTGCCACCAGTGAGAGCTATTCACATTTACTGCAGCAAAGAACAGTGGCACTTCTTCACTGCTAGCTCACTTTAGGTATTAAATTTTGTAAAAGCGCTCCAGTTAAATTTTATTGCATGTGCTTAAAGTTTTGTCATTCAAAGAATAAAAAATTGTAACATTTTATAAAATTTTACAATTTCCATGCCAGCCTTTCTAGTATGTTAACAGGAATGACACTTAATTTCCTTCAGATCCCAGAAAACATCCCATCTCCAAGAACAGGGTGGAATGTTCCTTGCCATGCATGGGTTAACCAGGTCTGCTCAGACTGCAGGGGGAGTCTTGGACTTTAGCACTTGAATGTTTGAATGACATGTTTAAACAGCAGCAAGCAAAAAACCAGAAGGAAGTTGTGCACAAAACAGTGGAGACAGCCTGCAAGGTACAGCAGAAAAAAATAGAATGGACAATAAAACAGTAAAAAACAATAAAATCAAATTGTTATTGTTATTTTTTTTTCTTTCAGACCAAAAAACTTATTATTATTATACTTTATAAATGTGCCTACTACACCAAATGATAAGACTAGTTTTAAAGACCATTTTTAAACTTTGCAAAGACCTAGAGTGCGTTAGTCTACTGTACTTGATGGAAGAAGTTATACCACGGTTATTTTTTAATTGTCTGGTCATTTTTAGAAGCTCCAACCTTGACAACTATTTTCAAACAATGAGGTTTGCTGTTTTGTTTATTTGTTAGAGGAGCAATCATTATGACAAATCCACATTATCATTTTTAAGTGACACTGCACATCAAAAACTCAACAGTAAAGATTACTACAGTACTAAATGGTGCATCTTAGCTTCTTTACCAGAAAAAAAGGTGGAAATCTGGCATTCTCTTTAAAGAGATTCCATTGAGCTCCATTACCCAGCAGAAAGGATTAGGCTGAATGCAAAGCTATTGAACACAGATGGAAGTCAGGAAACATTTTGTAATGGAGTATCTTAGAGGGACAGGTGAAAGGGATCAAACTCTCCTTGCTGGATGATCAGCAAAATTTACAATAAAAAAGTTGCAACTTATTGTAAAAAATCTTCATGGCTCAAAGCAGGTAGGTTGGATGAAATGGAATAGCACTTGAGAAGTACCTAATACTTTCACTCTCTTCATTTTGTGTGCTCATCAGTTTATGAAAATAATGCAAGTTGGCTGTCATATTGTTTTCAAAAGGAAAAGTGAGCTTTATTTTTAAAGCTCATATCAAAATACAAAAAAAGAAACCAGAAAGATTCCTTTCAAAGGTTATAAAACACCCCTATTGTCATAAGGAAATCTGTTACACTGGGTTTATGCCATCCTGATTCAGTATAAGCTTTCACACAATTTTAAAGGTATCAAGAGAAATTGGCAACAACGGAAGACTACTAGGAGAGCCAAAATATAACCTTCCATCATTTGGCAACACAATAATTGATTCAAGGTCTCTCCCACTAGCATACAGTCACCACAGAATTAAACAGAATCTTGAGTCAAACCCCAATGTCTTATGTGACTTCCCAAGCTGCAACAATGAAAGCAATTCAGAGATAACACGGCTTGTATGTTTTGACACTTGTCACCTTAACTGAAAGAAATGAAATGTGGTGTCCTATTTTCAAGGATCCTTTTCTAACAAGAGTAAACGAATTAAGCGATTCCTTCAATAATGATCTAAGGCTGTGCTCTAGGAAAATTTCCAGGTAACCCTTTGGGCTCCCAACCATTCCAGCTAGGGTGCCCAGCCCTCCAGGTTGGTCACCCAAAAATTAATTAATTAATTAATCAATCAACCAAGCAATTAGTAATTTATAATTAATTTATTTCATGTTTTTATCAGTTAATATTCATCAAACCATAAATTAAAACTTTTCACACTGTGTGACAGAGTGTTTTGCTGTTTTTAGTGGTGAGTTTGTGTTATTTTTCAAAAATTGTGCTTCTTTGGATATTTTAAAACTGCTTTGAACTTTCATTTGAAAGCATCAATATCATCAAGTCTAAATATGAAATCATTATAAGCTCAGCTCTCGCCAAATCTTCATAAAGTGATTGTAAGTCGCTTATCACAGATATCAATAAACACCTACAAACAAAGCTGGCTTACTGGAAATTTGCATATAGAAAGAATCTTTGTTTGAAATAAAGATAACCATGCTACACTTTCCAAATCCATAGAAATGCTGAAATAAATCAGACACTGATCATCTCAAGGAAAATCCCAGTGTTCAACCCTTATTTTTGCAATATCTGTGCAGTTTAAAACGTGTGAGGTGAAAGGAACTATTGTTTCAATAATTATTGTAATTTGGGTTCATATGAAATCATGTGGAATAAAACATGACAGTAACTTTGAGATCTTCGAACGTGAACAATTTGACTACATATTGCGCAAAAGAATATTTTTCTTATTTTTTCTTATTTTATCAACCAAATAAAAATGTAGCAATCAATCGCCAGATTTACCTCAGAGGCGAATGCTGCACAAGGGGCTGAGTGCACAGCTGGGTGACCAGAATACTTTTTTCAGTTGCCCGGGACCAAATGTTAGTTGCCTGGGACGACCGGACGCCACTAGAGCTCAGCCTTGTGGTCTTATAGAGCATGATATGAGTAGTAACATTGCAAAGAGCCACAATAGTCATGAACAACCTGAAAGCCAGCCAGAAGTAAATACTTCTTGGACTTCATACTTTTACAAGTCCCATGACTGGAAGAACATGATAATGAGAAATCTTTAGCAAATACCACGCATACCACAGCCAAGTGCTCCACACAGAACTCAAGAGAGACAACATAACACAGAAAGGCCTACTTCTGTCACAAATTCACGCAGACACCACTGTTCACACTGTGGGCAACCTGGCCACTGAAAATCTTGAGATTCACCCATTACCTGCCCTTACCTATTACAATCACACAATCAATTTCAACAACAAACACCATCAGTAGCTCAACAAGAGTTTTCTAACTTAAGTGTACCACCACAATCCATTTCAATACATGTTCCATCTTCAACTACACAATCAGTCACATTCTGGGAACTGCCAGCCTTCCTATCTCGGTCAAAAATTGGAGGTCATCAAGGTAGCAATGCTTGTACAGCTATTTCTTTGTTGTTAGCAAAGACATACATACCGGTAACAAACAAATCCTTCCTTCACTGAAAAACCACCAACCACTGACTCCAAGCTGGATTCTAGCCTTCATGTCATTTATGATGGGGGAAAATCAGGTATATGACAGTTTCATGCAGTCACCATCATATTTTGGTGTTGTTGAAGCCATATCTCTTGTCAGAAGCAGCTTGGGTAGTGTGAGCTATGAAGAGGGGTTAACTGTTTGTTTTATCAAGGAGCTTAATTCAAGTGAGGAATCTGCTCTAAGTTTTCACCTAAGCAGAAGACTTACCAACACAAATGCTGTTTTTATAATAATTAATGGTTTAACAATTTCATTTGTAAGTGATGCAAATGACAACATCATCTTAATGGATAACCATCTCCACTAACCAAAAGGCGCCTTACTTGCACAGTCTCACCGCAGTGACATTAAAGAACTATTAAACTGACTGAAGTTAAAGCTATCTGCGACGGCGAATTTGTGTACGGTTACTTTCATCAACTTCAGGTAACACTGTGTAGTAAGAAATGCATGTAAACGTCAAACAACGGCGGTTGATCGTTAAGTGATATCGACATATTTCCCGACACAAAGGTTAAGAAATGTGTCAAGTATAAATGTTATTGCATCTATTACGTTTAAGTTGTGTTGAGGAAGCAATCAGGCGGTATTGATTGGTACACTGTTACATTGAGCTTATATGTCGATCAAAAGAACGTTCACATAACAAAACGACCGACAGATTCAAGACTAATTTCGATTGTAAAACAGCTTTAACTACCACAAGAGGTTACATCGAAAAGTTTTCTAAGTTTAAAGCTTGTACTGAACAAATACCGATGATGAAATGAGTTTTGTATATAAATTTGGTGAATGGAACGGGAACAGGCAACGAGCTGTCTGAATAAATTTAAATCAGCTTTAGTTGAACTGTCTAAAATAATTCTACTTACCCTTCAGACTTTGCCATAAGAACAAAATCCATTCAATTTTCCGGTCGGATCACATCAATATCAGTCCCAAAAAGTGTAAAACGATGTTCTGTTCGTTCTTCGGAGAACTTCATCCACACTGGAATCACAAATCGCGGAAATCGCGCTAAATCCGCCGAGCATGCGCACTCATTTTGCCGCTGTGTCGTTTGATACGAGACACCGCTGGTATGCATCGGTTTCCCGCTAGAGAGTCGCGACAGGAAAGAAGCGGGAATTTACGTCGGAAAACGTCGAGTAGTTGAGACAACCTTTCTTGTCATTTTTCCCTCTGAAACTAGATGGAGGCGGCAAAGTCTCAAAATTGTGTGGTGTGTGGATACAAACGACTTGGAGTCTTGTCTAGTGATTGTTTGAGCGATCGATGTAGATGATGTTATTTGTGAAGGAGGGGGGCATTGGGATTTCCGGTTTTGCGGTTTTGGCTATTTTTTAGCTCGGCTTTTCGGTTTTTGTGTTAAAAAAATTTCAGTTTCTTGGTTTTGGTGTTCATTGCGGTTTGCGGATATTTCGTAAAAAAGTAAGACAACGTTAGTATTAGAGATACGGTCGTTACATCAAAGAGCTTGTTAGAAATTGAGGAATAGTTATGGATTTTACTACTGAAACAGGTAGACTGTTTTTCCGCAGACGTGCGTAACAGTTGCCGTTAGCGACAAAGGTGATTGTTTTTGGTCACGTGACTAAAAAGGTGTTAGCACAAAAAGCAAACGCTCGTAATAACATTCCTTGGCATTTCTTTGCCCGCGCTTTTGCTGTCTGTCGTCGTTTATCTGCTTTCGTTTAGTAATACAACATGAACCAGCTAAAAGTGTTCTATATTTCTTTTCCGGAAGATCGATGGTGTCTACCTTTGATGATCTGATCGAATCTGATGCGAATCGTAAGGAATAAATTAGAGTGTTTACAATTTACTCCTGATGAAGAATTGTGGATTCAGGACAAGGACGATGAGGATACTTTTGTCAACTTGCGACTTGGAGATTCGTTTCACGATGGCTTCAGATGTGCTCAATTAGTGTCAGGTACAAAATTCAGAAGGCTAAAAATCAAAATCCAGTGGCAGCCAAAATTATATCCACCAAGCGACGTGAAATTATTGAACGTGAGATAATCGGCAAAACTGGTGTCAAAGGTGCAGAATCGAAATAGCGGCTGTTATTTAAAATGGAGAAATCTAATTTCTTAACGGCCACAGTTGCTGGAATGAATGCACCACGCTCTTGGGAATGTTTTCGCACGGACAACGAGTTTAGCTGCAATTATTGCATGTTTAGCGGCAATTATTGCAGTTTCTGAATCTGATACGCCAGTAAGCCAAATAACAGGCTATCACAATAGTCAAGGCGGTTAGAAATAAAGGCAGTTATCAGAGTTTCAGTACATTCTTTGCTAAGATGCTTCCTTATCCTCCTAGTATATGCTTTCACCGATGTGCCGCGTTTTCAATTTTCGGGAAACTTTAAACGCAATTTTTAAGATCAGTTTTTCCGATCGCGGCTCTCTTACATGACTTCCAGACCAGCTCAGTTCATCTTCTCTCGTGTGGTAGAGCTTTTATAATTTTCCATACAAAATATTATTTTGTAAAGAATAAGAGAGACGGTAAGCCTATTATTAATATTATTATTATTTATCTTTTGAACCAAATGCTGTAAAATTAGTGTGAAGCAGATTGATGGTAAAGTCGTTTTGCGGCCTAGCGACCGCATTTCTTCCTGTACACACACAGCTTTCATGACGTAAAACAAAGGGGATGCCGAGATATATTTAGGACGTTAGATATGTTGTGATTTATGATGGTAATGGGGCCGAGAGGAGTCCAACTTGGTCCGTAATCATACGAGTGACTAACAAAATCAGACGAGCGCGAAGCGGGAGTCCGATTTGTTAATCACAGTATGATTACAGACAGAATTGGACGACAAGAAATCGTTTTACCAATCAATCATAATCATTTTAATTTCCGAAAAAACAAAAACACCAAGAACAAATATCTCCAGTGGAGAAAATGTCTTTTGTTCAAAATTCCTCTATTTTGGAAATTCCCCAGTTCTCTTTGGATAATTGGTTGTTGCTATGGTCACTGTGATCATTTCTGTGATTGGTGGATTAGCTAAGTGGACTTAGTATGATTGGCTGCTTCGACTGTCCGATTACAGGTGTCCAGTTACAGCCAACTGTCATTTGTTGTGGTGCAGAAAACTTTAGGTCAACGGGGTCAAGTTTCATGAACTTTGATTGGACCATTACATTTGCATATTTATGATGTCGACTATAAAGCCTCTAACAACCATCCATACAGCGTAGTTCATCATGACGACAAGACTCTCGTCGTACGCTTCCTTTCTCAAGCACCTAAAGCGATAGAATGTAGGCAGTGCCATACGGAGTTCCCTCGAAGAAAAATAGCGATACCACTTGATATTATTCTTTCACTTGAGGAAAAATGGATGTACCCTGACCCAAACAATCAAGGGGAAAAACTGTCGTCGACGAGATGTACAACGAAATTTTATTGTATATAACGCTCCTGCATTTTGAGCCGATTCCCATACTTCGATCCCGCCTACCTGGAAATTTCACTAGAAGTGAGATCAGCCCCCAGAATTTTGATTTAAGCAGAGCTAGGCTGCGGTGAAATGTTGCGAGAAACAGTTGTGGTGTGAAGTGGTTTTCTATTGAGTACCATTGTCGTTGTCGTTCTTGTATTTCTACGTCTCCTGATTCGCGTCAATTCGCAATTAATTGCCAACAGGGATCGTTTGTAAAGTTATTTTAACGTTGATGAAAATACGAATCAATTAATGTTCACGCTAGATAAGGTGTGTAGGTCTTGATTAGCTTTCGTGGCACCCATACGAAAATATATAGAATTGTTTGCTATCGCAAGACCTGTCAGGAATGTAGGCAAGACCGTTCTTCCGGATGTAAGATAGAGATTAAACGTCAGTGGATGCTGTTCTTTAAATACAGCAAATTGAATTATCTCTAACGTTACAGCGGTGATTTTTCCCTTTGTTGTTGTTTGCGAGATTCCTAGACTTTGCCATAGTGAACTTATTGCTTATAATTTTTTTAAGGGTTCTTGTTATTTATAACAAAAGAAGGCTAATGCAAATGATCCTCGCAGCCTAATTAAGGCTTTGCAACAGTGCTTGAAGGACGTCTATCAAAGAAATGATTACGAACATTATTAATGCTAAAATTAATTAAAAGATGATGATAAACAACTGGTAGCGTGGCCAATTTCTTCCCTTCCATTACAAGGGGTCACATTATCCAATTTCACTCGCATACTGAGATAAAATGGTTATTCATATTTTAGGGCAAACGTTCTTCAGGGAAATGTTTAGCCTGGCGCGAATTATAATTTTCGAAACGCGGCATTTGGAGAGAATCTCTATCGTGTACAGTTAGTAACTAAGTGTGGAGGACTGAATTGAATCATCGTGAAATTCTCAAAAGTCGTGACTCGAACTGTATTCGTGTGTTGGGTTATTTAATTGCACTGTAACTGACTACATCGGTGTACCCTTTATCTCTTATGAACTACAATTTTTCTTGCGTACAAAGATAAACATCAATCATACAACGGTCCTCGAGACGATGATGTTCCTCAGTCCTGTCAGGGTAACAAACCCTGCACCCGTACCAGAAACAACCTTGAAACTCCTACACGGTGTTGTTCTCAGCATCGTACCCGTCCACAGTATGGTTATCAACATGATGAATACAACGACCAAGTTTTCAAAACTTGCTGCTCTTCCCATAGCAACCAGTCCGTAGAAAAGTTGGTTTTGAGTCTCCAACCGAGCAAGGGTTCTGAGGCAATGGTGTTGGGTTCCATCCTATTTTGATGGAGGTCTCGATTGCAGGCCGAAGCGATAGTGAAGTGTCAAAAGGATTGAACCTGGCTTGTTCTTCGAAGAGACGTTTAAAGCTAAGACATCCCTTGACATCCATCTCACAATACTCGAAGTGACCGTGTGGAAGGTCACAGTGCTACAGCGAATGACTTGTTTTTCCCTCGCAGGTCCTTACGATGTCACAAGTAGTCGCGCGTAGCATCTCTAATAAAATTTGGAAATCGCACAAACTGGGAGCCAATGCAAATTTGGTCAGTTCTTCGCAGCCAGATGGAACGAACGGAACGTTAGCTTCAGCATGAAGTTCAATGGCTGTATGAGTTTGAATCTTTCTACCATCTTTGAAACTTCGCCAGTTAAGATGGCCATCCACTTTAACTTCGGCAGTAACAATCACACGAGCACAACAGAGGCTGTCGTTATTCTTGATGGTGACCACAGTTTGCTTCATGCGTTTGAAAGTCTCAGGATGCGAATGGCCAGGTTTCATCTTTCTCTTTTCACCACTTCCACGAGGTGAACTTCGGACATGTGTAAAAGAAATCTGGAATGAATCATTCATTTCAAAGTTCTCGTTGGAATTCAAGGTAGGAGCCATTTGCTGTAGCATAGCATCCACACGACCACTTCCATTTAACCATTCTTTCGCCAAAAAACCATGATAATCGAAGGACTTCCGGAGTCGTTCGCTGGACAAATGGAAGTAAACGCGACCGTTTTCAGGGATCCGGTAGCGACGAATAAAGCTGAATAAGGTTTTGTGGGCTGCGGTGAATGACATCTGTGAGCTCTCCGACCAACTTTTGTTGAGGGATAAATTGCCCCATCTCTTCTCTGTCGATCCAGGAACGGATTCAGCGTAAACGACCTGCTTCGGTAAATTGTACACTTCCGCCAAGTTGTCCTTGAAAGGCACATTTCCAATGGGATTGTATCTCTCGAACTCGTCTTTCCACTGATCTTCACGGGTTTCGAGCTCGTGACATTTGCTCTCCAAATGTTTCACCTTCTCGTTGGATCCCAGCCATAAACATGTCAAGTTTTGTATCACTTGTGAAGCCATACTAACGGAGACAGTTGCAAAATGCTTTGTTCAATCCTCTCCGGAAGCCAGCACCTTGTTTGCGTCGTTCTAATGAATTTCTTCGCTTAGCCAATTCTCGCAAGACTTGTTTGTGATGTTTGAATCTAGCTGCGGTTGGAGGTGACAAAGGTACTCGATTCTTAAGTAAATTTAACACAAACTCACTCGCGGCATCGACCTGATCACTGTTGGCATGTTGCAACATATCCTCTCGAACGTTTCGATTTCCCTCTCTCTCAAGATGGATATCAAGAACGCCCGATGTCTCTGTGTTCGTTTTATCGTCTGAATGGAAAGCCACTCCTTCTTGGTCTGTGACGATAATAATTTACATTTGTTAAAATGGCTTTGCGTGACACTCTTTCGTGATTTTCCGTACCGTGACCATTATCAGGAGCGTTGCGTGATTTTGTAACGTAACCAAAATTTCAAGTCGGCCATTTTTTGGTGCACGGGTGAAATCCTGCCTTCTCATCGGTCAAAGAATTTACGTGACCACAGCCTCAAACATAGGGATAGAGGGGTATCACCTTTGGCTACGAGCATTTGACACCCGAGGATAAAGAAACGGTAGCCATGTTGACTGATTTGTGAGAACTTCACGAATGCTTATTTTTTCCTGTTTATGATGTGCTGGGCGCTGTCCACTGGGGAAGAGTACATGTTCCGCTTGTCATTTAAGGAATTTTTTAATATTAAAATTGTTTTATTGAAAAACCTGTTGTTTTTTTTCTTATTCCCATCTCACCCTGCTTAACCTCCAAAATACTTTGGCGTGACATTTTGTCACATGACTCGTGACAATCATAGCCCTTAAAGCCAAGCTATTGTACATCTCATGAATTCACTAACATTTCTGGTCACGCGAAAAATGGTTGCGAGGGGCCGACCTTGCTACTATTTTTCATGCTCACAGAAGATGTAAAGCGCGTGTTTCAGTTCATATCAGACGAAAATAGCATCCATTAAAAGTCCGCTGACTTGTTCGAACTTGGGCGCAAGCCAGCATCTTGTAGCTCAAGTACTCACACAACATTGACACATTTATTTATTTTATCGTTTTTTTCTCCAATCCGGTTAAAGGAAGCCGTTGCTGTATGTGTATGCCTAAGTTCCACAGCAACAATACAATTTTTTAGAATGGTGTGATCTACTGTATTCATGAAGTTTTATCTCTCCTCATCGAGTAAGTTGAAAAATAACTTAAACAACGAGGCTAATTCAAGAGTCACCTTTTTTTTTATCTCTCGTCCAACATGAAATACGAAATCTGAATAATGAAAAGTGCATTTGGTAAGGGAAATTCGAGATGCACAAAACAGTTGCTGTTCAGTAGTCTTTAAGATAAGAAAGAGCGGAAATTATTACAGGAAGTAGGAAAAAGTGGCCTGAAAGTGGCATGGTACTTTGTGAAGTAACGATTGGACTGCATAAATCTCCATTGCAGCAAGTGATGTTGCATTTCACTTTATAGCCTCCACCACTGATCTTTTGACACACTTTAAGTTGTTCCCTGGCATCGTCGCACATTTTCTTGGTAGCACAGCCGTAGAAATAGCTTTTAATCGAACCAACGCTAGCCTCGACTTCAGTGGAAATATTAGCGCAGTTGTCTGCTATTTCAGGACATTCAATCTTCTCGCTTGACTTGCCACAATCATACAGCGATGACGAGCTTAGGCAGTGATGGCATTTCAAACCGCTAACTGCGATAAAGGAGAAACAAACTACCCTTAATGTAAATAACAATTGTATGATCACCTGGAGTTTTGAAAGCTAAATTGACAAGAGTTTCCTCTCAAAAAAGCTTCTAGCGGGACGATTTTTGTTATGGGGACTCTGATTCCTCATTTCCTTCAGCCACTAAACGTTGATAGGGGAGTGCCTTCCCCCACAAAAAAATGATTATAAAAGAAAGGAAACGCTAAATATCTCGCGGTGTTGACTAGATTTCCGCGCATGCCTGAGATTTCTGCATTGTGCATCCGGGACATAGAATTTTTGCGAGACTACATGCATGATCAATAACATGTATTTCGTTATTTAATGGTATTGCAAATAAGCTCTCCTGACGGACAATAATCAACTGATGCTTGTAATATCTCGAAAGTTCTAAAAATTACACTCCCATACAACTAATATAAAGGGCCTTTGGCGATAGCTCATTGCGTGACCTCCTCTTCGTTAACCCTTTAACTTATAGAAGTGATCACCATGAAACTTCTCCCTATAATCCTAGCATTATCCAGCAAATGGGTAATGAGAATATTCAAACTTATCAGTTAGAAGGTGTTGTCTTGATCTAACACCAAATTCTCATTACTAATTTACAAGGAAATATATAGCAGCTTGAGGGGAGAATTTACAATTTGATCTTGGGAGTTAAGCGGTTAACACGATAAGTTCGTCAGTTTCAACCAAATATATTCCTGGCTATGAAAACAGAAGCGGCAAGTTTACCCCTAACAAGTCATATGACCAAGTGTGACAAGGTTTTTTATAAGGAAAATAATTGGGTTTCATCAATTGAGTTCATGATGGAAATTTGCTTTCGAAGAAACTCTCAGGGTGGCCAATTTACGTTGTCAACTGAATGATAAAGCCAGTTTATGTAGTTAGACTCCACCGACGCAACACCACACTTTCCTTAGAGACGTAGCCCGCTTGTTCATCTCCTATTTTAAAGAACGCTTTTAAAACTTAGCTTGTGCCCGTAAAACACGGAATGCGCTAACGGAAAGGGTCACGTAACACAGCGTAAACCAGGTCTCTTGGCAGTTTCGTTTTGTACTATATTAATATTGTTAATCATTCATTGCAAGTTACTTCGGCCATTATTGAGATTTTTTTCAATAGAGCTATCATCAATAAATGTATTCGTCAGCGATTTTACTGAAGGAAAACGTGGATTTCTATATAAACTTAAACATGGTATCGAAACTTCAAGTGGAGCTGATCTGGGAGAGCACATAACTCGGGCGAGATTCAGACTAGAGAGCCATTGTATACAAGGGTGGGCCAAAACTTGCCCTACGAAAAACCAATCTCTCTCACTGCAAAAAATATGATCCAATACACCAATACATATTGAAAAAAGCTGACAAACCGTATGTTTAATTACGTAATCGGCTGAGCTCTAAATTCAACGCCTTCGACTTACCTGCAACGAGCGGAAGAATTAAACCCACTAACAGAATTGTGATGCGGCCAGTAATCTTCATGCTCATAAATAATTGACCAAAGCGAAATTTTGGAGCAGGAGGGTCTTAAATTGGACAGGATATGAACCTCAAAATCACAAAACGAGTCTCTCTCACTTCACCAAGTATGCTGAGTCACTCAAACAAACAAACGTAACGCAAGATTAAGCATCGCCAACATTCTTCTCCATTGTACTCCGGGACACTGTCATTGGCTTTAACTTGCCCATGAACAATATTTCTGAAGTAAACCAATAATTTCTCGTTTGTGCCATGGAGCGTTTTATGTTAGGCCTTTGATCATATGAATTTTAAGTAACCTTCTGTCTTAAATATGTTTTAGCTTGTTTGGATGTTAGAGGATGGTTAAAAGGTAATGAAAATATGATTTGTTTTGCTTTCGCGCCATGTGTTTTCAAATGTAAGGGTGAAAATTTCGTTTTAAACCCTTTAACTCCCAGAAGTGATTAACACGACACTTCTCTTTATAATATCCTCACATTATTCAGCAAACAGGTAATGAGAATACTCAAACTTATCAAGTGCAAGTTGTTATCTTGATCTAACACAAAATTCTCATAACTAATTTACAAGGAAATGTGTAGCAGCTAGAGGGGAGAATTAACAATCAGATCTTGGGAGTCAAAGGGTTAAGTGAAAAGTAAAGTGGATGAACCCCGATGAACAATAATAGCATGCTTTACCCTTACAATAAAACCTTTCGACTTCCGGTGTAGCGAGAAAATGGTAACAAGGTTATGTAAGGGGACACGAAATAAACCCATACTTTAACTTGGAAGAGTGCTTTACATCCGATCGAGTGTGAAAATTCTGCGGCTGAGAATCTGTAACTTAGAATCAAGTCCAGATAATCTCAGAAACAGAAAACCTAGGGAATGATTCTCAGGAATTTCTCGTGTAGACGGTCTAAAATGATTCCCAAATATGACAATTTTAATCTTAGGTCGACAATGCAGTAGTGCAACACATCCCGGCCTAAGAAACCCAGGAGTGGCAATCAAGATGATAATAGCTACATATCTGCTGACACTTAATTGGCAATAAGAGGAACAAGGTTGCAAACCTTGGGCTTCTACACTTGCCTCTAGCTATCAGGCAGGATGCTACTGACAATAAGAACAAGAAACACACCACGACATAAATCAACACTGACTTTATTTATTTACAGAGGCAATGTCAGCGGCAAGATCATTTCTGTCTGAGCAACGACACCGCTGTTCTTACCAGTGAACAAAACTTAACCCTTCTCAACTCCACCCAACTTAAAGTGTAGTAACACTAACAGTTCCTTTGGTCTAAACACCTACATTACTTCTGAAAACAGGAAGCTCCAACAAGAGATTTGTTGTTAATTAAGCTAATAAAAAAAGACTTAAATCAGTGTTGATTTAAAGGTGCTTTTTCCTAATTCTGCAATATTCTTTGAAGAGGAATTCAATTCTGTTTCCTCCTGAAGGAGCAACCTAAAATAAAAATAAACAAACAGTGAAACAGACATTAAAATCAAGCAGCCCAACAACAAAGACAAATGCTTAAGTTACAGGTATTAGCCTTGTAACCCTTTAAATCCCATAAGTGACTGAGAAAGATTTTCTCCTTACAATATCAATACAATATCAAGCAAACAAGTGATGGGAATGAAGAAAATATCAGTTAGGGGATTTATAGCTGATCCAAGACCAAATTTGCCACAATAATATCAGAAATTGTATGGTAGATGGAAAAGAAAATCACTAATGAGACATTGGGAGTAAAGGGGTTCAGGCCAGGTGGCCCTTAACTGCCAGTGCTTATTTCCAGTTTCTGAAATACTCAGTTACAAGGAGTGTGTCCACTCTTTTTGGATGTCATGGTCATCTTCAGAGCTCAGCAATTTTCCAGTTTACCTTACAGTTTGTGGTTACCCATTAATACCCCCAGGTGAAAAGATGTCTGATTCCCAAAAGACCCCAGAGTAACCCACTACAATTTCACTCTTTTGTCTAACATACCCATTAGAATTTGGGGAATTAAGGAGATAAACAATAAAAGAATGTGTCAATGAAGTTTAGAATTCTCTGAGTAAGACAACTAAAAAAAAAATCCTTGCCATCAGTTTAGAGAATTCTGTGGAGCTCTTAAATCCTTGGAGTAAAAGAAACAATTATTTCCTTATTATACCATTTAATTCTGTTGGCGATGAAACAGTAAAGGCTGGTTTCAAATGAGGTGAGATAACCAAGGATGGTCTCAAAACATAACACACTGACATTCCAATAATAATGAGCTAGGAAAATACCAGACAAGTTCGTTTAGTTAACCAAGAGATAGCACTTCTGGTCCAGTTTTACTCATCTAATCCCCTTTCAACTATTGCCATTTTTTTACATATTTTCCAAGAGTTCTATGTAGCATTGCAATAATTAACACTGAATCTGAATACCCAGTGGTTCATTTAGAGTTTGCAACTTTTAAGGCTTCACATGCAGACCTCTAACCAAACTATTTATGGACTTAATATGCACTTAATGACTAGTTAGAAAGGCTTGACATGAATATATTTTGCACAAGGTCTATTCTTCATGACCAAGAGCCAAATATTTTTTTCCATCATTATCTCTCTCTCTCTCGGATAAAGTATTTCTTCCTTCCTTCTTTCAGCTTACATCTGACAGGGTTGTGCAGCTTTTTTTTTTTTTTAGCACTGTTTGCCTGGTTAACCATGAACTTAGGATTTTTCCATCAATGTTTTTCATGAGGTCATATGATGACAATTTCTGTCTATAATTACAGCTAATGTTCAATGTTCATTCTAACCTTCTGTGAGTCTTGCTCTCCCTCCTGTAGGCTGACAGAGCACCATAGAACATGACACACACAGAACAACTGTCTGGGCATGGCTGAACACAGTTGTGATTTTGTAGCAACCTGTGGAAAAATAAGATGATTATTACTAAACTCTGTACAGGGCTCCAACTAAAAACAGAAATTTAGTCCCTAAAGATGTATACTGTGACTTTGGTCAGGGGTTAACAGTTTACTGCGCATGTTCTGAAACCTGGACCATTCAAGAAATGAAACATAATCAGTGCATTTGAAGGGCTTTTCAAACATACAAAAGTCCATTTTCCCAAACCTTTTTAATACCAATTTTATAAAGCTTTCAATTCCTTCACAAGGTTGTCATAAGAAACCAATAGGCAGCAGAAACCTACTGGTTACCAGACCTGCTTTTTTTGTGAGCATTAAAAGGTGCTTGAAGACCAAAATTTCATTTGACATTTAACACTGGTCACCTCAACATCACCAACCAACAAAAACGTTAAGATTTAATAGTTTTATTTTTGCCATTGTTCGATGGGAATGAAAACCTTTAAAATGTGCTGTTTTAGGTTAGCCTCCTGATTTCTATTTTATTACTTTGGTGGCTCAGATTCCAGTAAATGCATTGTTAAAACCAACTGCACATTTTTTTTACCGAACAAAACAGTATATAAGTCACAAGATTATCAAGCTACACCTTTTTGTCAAGACGCATTTCCCAGCCATAGTGTTAATGCCTGAGAAATATTAGTTTCAGCATGAGATTGAATCTGTTTGTGCAAGTCTCACACTCACTGCTTGAGGCTTGAGACCTCTGAATAAATACTACCATTTCATTGATCATTGCAATCTCTTACTTCTTCTTCAGTCATTTTATTTCCTACTGTTACCTGGTTACCTTTAGAAATAAATTTATCACTCTACATCACTACTTGCTAATGACTTCACCTGGACACTTCACATCCATGAAGTAGCTGTTTGGACTTTGAACAAGCCGTTTGAGTTTGTGCTTCCGTTTCTCTTCCTCAACAGAGGGATGCAAAAGATCCTTGAACAACTAAAGAACCAATTCATAACACAAAGTGAGATCCAGAATAACAGACAGTACCAATAGTTTTAAAAGGTGCCCAAAGGATTAAAATTAGCGGTGATTCTTATGCCTTTACTGACAAGCACCTTGATTGTCCCCAGTTTGCAAATTTCACAAAAAGTTCTTCATATACCAACTAAGCACATTTCCCACGATAACTTCACCATCTTGAACGAGGATCTAAATTACTCAGACTAACAATTACTAGCTAATAATCTAAAAATTTCCTGATGAAAGGTACTTTACAAGAAACTGTACCCTTATGTTGTCAAGCTAGCCGCCGTTTCCTTGTATGATTGTTATGCACGAAGTAAAAGAGTTAATAAATAGGAAATACTGGTGCCTTGGAAAGGAGCATTGTTCATTGCAGAAGGCTATTTACCCTTTGGAGATTTTTCAGTTCGTCCTAAGGACATCTCGAATAACCGATCTTAATCTACAATCAACCATCTATACTACATGGTCCGACCAATACTTTCTGAAATCAAACACCAACGTTTCTCAAGGAGATCTATTCTCATAAAACATGGAGATAGTGCTTGTTTGAAAGTGAAAGTGCTGGTGGAGTTTCTAAAGAAGAGCTAAGTCATGATTGTTCTCGTGTTAACACTGCGACAATACACAATATTAACCCCGAAACTAGTGAAGTAAGTATTATACTAGATTATGGTAGTTATTTGGACATTCTCTGTGCATTTTTGGGGGCGAAATAGGGGCAGAATCGCCTGCTACTAACCGGCATGGTTTTGCCTTCGAATCAAGACCAAAAGAGAGAGAAACGTGCGCAGTGCCAAGACATATCAGGGGAGGCCGGGAAAAAATTTCAGGGCCACAGTTGCACAACGTGTTGCAATAAGGGACTGGGTACCACAACAAAGAAAATGAAGCTCATAGTGAATAGGGGAGAATTGTTTCAGTTTTAAGGTTACGTATAGAAACAATGAATAAGCATTTTTGTTGTTAGCTTTAGGTAGATCTGATGGTTCAATTTGTGGACCAGATAACCTTAACTACGGTTTCTAAGTAAGAGTTTTCAGTTTTGCAAACGCGCCAATTAAGAATTTCTCACAGAGGTGAAGGTGTATATATAGTAGCGGATATTAACCGAGCTGCGAGACGGCGTGATTCTGTCTCATCGGCTGCTCGAAGGAGGATAGTACTTGCTGATCATTCTGTTGAACACATCCAAAATTGGATACAACAAGGTACTTATCTGAACAACTGGTCACTTGATCTATCAAATAAAGTTTCAGATGAACACATACCCTGGAACTACACCAATTGAGTTACCTTCCACTAGATACCTGGTATCCCCTCAAAAATGGAATGACATACTAGATAGGATCAGAACTTCTGACTTGAGACAAATTGAAGTTTAACTTTAAAAGTACTTTAGGTTTACGAATCAGTGAGTTTTTATGATTCATCACAATGTAAGTGTATTTTAAGTGGATTGCTGTACTTGGTGAGTATGAATTAAAGCATGCTAGTTTTATTTTATTTATCTCTGACATAACCTAGTAGCTTTCGGAGATATTAAATGCAAAGGAAATCTGAATCTGTTATTAGGCGCTTTTTTTCTCTGTTGTGTAGTATTGGTAAGTTGTAGGACCATAATGGTGTTGCACAGTAAGTATCTTTATTACGACAACAGTTATAATCATAATAACTATAATGATAAATCACGATGATAATAATAATTGTCATAATAATAAGAATTTTCAAGCCTCCAAAAATATATATATTTCTAAAATATTCTAAGGTAAAAGAAAAGGTAAATGATATCTATAATAATAACAATAATAATAACAATGACAACAATAATGAAAATAATAATTATATGGGTTGTGGTTACACTAGCCCTTTTACCCATGGGTAAATAGCATTTGCGCATGGGCAAGGACATTTTTGTGCATAACCGCTTTCCCCAGACTGAAACTGCCCTAGGGTTATTTCCATAGATACATCAAAAAGAACAAAAGAATTTCCCACGACAGTTCCTGAACTGAAAAGTTCTGTTTATCTGCTCCCTGAGGCGGCTTGACCAATCATAAAGCAGAATGTAGCTAATATAGGAAATCGCCTGCAGTGTTTTGAAGTGACCTCCGATGTGCTTGGCTGATTTTTAGCCTTCTTCGGTGTCTTCTCACAAAAAACTGCTGGACTGTTATATTTATGGAGGACTGTCGTATAGCAGGCAGGAGAATCACTGACATTTAGCTTAATAGATCTCAATTTGTAACATCCATGTTGCTCTGTACTTTTCCTGCCAATTTGTCAGGTCAGTGAACTCATATCTAATTATATTTGACCCTGAAAAGGGGTAGTCTCTCATATAGCGGGTTCTGAAATAACTAATAATTAACTGATAGATATAGCAGAATGGTAAAGTGAGTGGGTACAGAGGGTCAGTGAACAGAGCGCACAGTGGACCAGTGAGTACAGAGGACCAGAGGAACAGTGGGAACAGAGGAATAGTGGGAATAGAGGACCAGTGGAACAGTAGGCACAGAGGACCAGAGAAACAGTGGGAACAGAGGACCAGTAGGAACAGAGGACCAGTGGGTACAGAGGACCAGAGGAACAGTGGGAACAGAAGACCGGTGGGAACAGAGGAACAGTGGGTCCAGAGGGCCAGAAGGTACAGAGGACCAGAGGGCACAGAAGACCAGTGGGTGAGAGGACCAGTGGGCACAGTGGACCTGAAGAACAGTGGGTGAGAGGACTGGTTGTAGAGAGGACCAGTGGGAACAGAGGACCAGAGGAACAGTAAGAACAGAGGACCAGTGGGTACAGAGGACCAGAGGAACAGTGGGCCCAGAGGATCAGAGGACCAGTGGGTACAGAGGACCAGAGGACCAGTGGGTACAGAGGACCAGAGGAACAGTGGGAACAGAGGACCAGAGGAACAGTGGGTACAGAGGACCAGAGGACCAGTGGTTATAGAGGACCAGAAGAACAGTGGGAACAGAGAACCAGAGGACCAGTAAGTACAGAGGACCAGAAGACCAGAGGAACAGTGGGAACAGAGGACCAGTGGGTACAGAGGACCAGAGGGTACAGAGGAACAGAGGAACAGTGGGAACAGAGGACCAGGGGAACAGTGGGTACAGAGGACCAGTGGGTACAGAGGACCAGTGGGTACAGAGGACCAGTGGGTACAGAGGACCAGAAGAACAGTTGGAACAGAGGACCAGTGGGTACAGAGGACCAGTGGGTACAGAGGACCAGAGGAACAGTAGGATCAGAGGAACAGTGGGATCAGAGGACCAGTGGGTACAGAGGACCAGAGAAAAAGTGGGAACAGAAGACATAAAGGCACCAGTTGGGACAGTGCCAGAAGACACCCAAAATTGTTGAAATCCTATGGCTGCATTTAAAGTTATTCATATAAGGTAGCAAATCATTTTTCAACTCTGAACCTTGTGTTTCTGTACTGTCAGAATATTATTTAATGTTTTTTTCCTTTCAGTCACAAGTCTAAAAGGCTGAGTTTAGGTGTAGGGCAAAATTTTTTCCCTATGCAAAATGTGAAAAATATTAAGCTTTTCTAGTTACCGCATCATATTCCCCTAAAGTTTAAGTGTTGAAGTTTTTTCAGACTTGTTGTAAAATATGTTTTATTATATAATCAATAAGGATGCTACAAACTTCCACCTTGTTCCAATCAAAGCAACTTAGCTATACCTTTTCCACTTAACAGACAATTTATTTGACCACAAACAAAGCTATTCCTTATTACTAACCAAATTATATAATAATTAAAAGCTTTCTCGTTTTTATGACAAAATCCCTAACCAGAACTTAAATCATACTTTTCTCCTTGAATATTTCAAATTGACACACTTTAGAATTGTTATATATCAGCTGGTAACTTCTTATAGAATGATCACTTTATGACACTCATCTCTATTGTTTGTATGTGCCATTGCAATCTGTAGCCAGGATTTCCCTGAGAGAATTCAAAGTTACAACAGGAGCCTATAAGTTCTCAGTGAAAATTTTTGTCTAAGGTAGCAGAGGGTAATAAATGTTCCCTCTCACAGAAAAATCTTCCTAGTAGGTATTCCATAACCTTATGATTTGACCCTTTCACTCCTCGTGGGAGTAATATGAATGCCCATAACACCAAAGCATTCAAAATTCACACAAATTATCAACTAAGGGATTGAGTTTGATTGGCCACCAAATTCTCAGATCCTAAACTACATGTAGAGAATGGCAAAGCAGTTTTACAATAGACAAAAGCTTTGTGTTCTGGCACCTAGGCCAAATCAATATTATCATCCTCTGGATCAATATGGTGTTCCTGGCAGAGTCGAGCCTTCTGTGGGTGCTTGTCTAGGAATTTGTTAAAAAGTTCCTCTGTACCCACTGTTCCTCTGGTCCTCTGTGCCCACTGTTCCTCTGTTCCCACTGTTCCTCTGCCCCTCTGTACCCACTGGTCCTCTGTGCCCACTGTTCCTCTGGTCTCACTGTTCCTCTGGTCCTCTGTACCCCATAGTCCTCTGTTCACTGATCCTCCGTACCCACTCATTTTACTCTCCTGCTACACCTATCTGTTAATTATTAGTTATTTCAGAACCCGGTATATGAGAGATTACCCCTGAAGGGAGTCTTTCACTCTGTAACCGCATCCCCAAGGGCAACATGAAACCTGAGCTTAACCAAACCCAAGCCATTTACCCTCCGTAAGGCCCCAAACCCAAGGTGTATGTAACCACGGCTATAGATTAATTGAAGGAAGGAAAGTTAAGAAGATTGTTGTGAAATTAACGTGACTTGCATTTGACCGAGTACTCGGTAACTCAAAGATACTCGTGACGAGTATAAGCCGAAGAGAGGCCCTTGCTTCAATGCGACTGTAGCTAAGCAACGCTATTAGAACAAGGACAAGTCTCTAAACAAACTGCAGGCCTACGTTGGTGGGGGTAACACAAGAGAATTGGTCACCGTAAATAGTTCCTTAAGCTGACGTTTCGGCGACGAAGGGTCAACGGTTAAAATTTCAGCTCTCATAGAATTACCCTTATACCTGTACTGCATAAGTTCAGAGCCTTAAACTGAAATGAAGTAGAGGATATCCGGACTGAATATACCGTGGTAACGCAATCACTCTTTGGAAATTTATTCACCGATCTTGCTGTTGATGTTTTCGTGAATCTCATATCTTTCAAGGCAATCGTCGTGACAGATGTAAAATGAGATATTTGTTTTAGTTATTTATTTTGTCGGGCAACAAGGCAAGACCTCAGGGATTGCACGTGTAGCTATTTTTAGCAGCCTTTCAAACTTCACTTCCGGCACGTGAACTCGTTATTGATGACAGAATCTACTCAGTGACGCGAACCAATCAGATTTCATAACTCCTCTAGAATCAGTTGTCTGGCTCTATGATATTCGAGCGCAAAACAGAAAAGTTTTTTCTCTTGTCGCCGATTCCGCAATTTATGTCATTTCCTTCGCTAGTATAAATAAGTAAGAGTGTATTTAGCCGTACTTTCGCCCGTAAGATTACAAGGATGATTACCTTACTTTAGTTAACTTTGCGAGAAGAAAAATTATGAAGCCAAGTGAAGGTAAGTTTGTGAAGGTATTCCTATATTTTAAAGCAAATTGCTGACGTGTTTTGAAATGAAAGTTGTGCGGTCGAGATTTGCTGTTTTGATAAATTTTAAATTAGAATTCTCGTTTGAAATAGCTCTGTTTATGAATTAAGTTCGAGTAGTACTTAATTGGTTGGCACGATTCGCCTCGGCATTCGACCTTCAGTGAAAACTAATCTTTCGTTTAGTTG